CTATAAATTGGATCTGTGTCCCTGCATTCATAAAAAAAATGATTACTCTCCGAAATTCTTCATTATTGTGGAAAAAAGTGATAAGATTTCTCACCATGGACCTCGATCTGGTAAAGCAATCCCCCTGCGTCGTAATTCTTGTACGCAATCAGTTAGATCGAGTATTGGCAACGGATCAATATTAGCTTTGGCCACAATACCAACTAAGTACTCAACAAAATGTGCCCTTTTGCATGCCAACAAATTTGGCACCGAAATGGTTTTATTTTTTTATATTTTGGTTTCAGGTGAATGAATCGGTTTTAGAAGCAGGTTGGCAAACAAAATCACACCATAAAGAGAATAGAAAAAGAGAAAGAACAAACAAAACGAAAATTTGGATAAGTTTAATACCTTAATCAATTCATTGTGAAAAATTGAGTTGCAAATTTTAGGATCCTGACGATATACGTATGGACGTGGCGGAAGACGTCTGTTTGCCCGTCGCACAACTGTTTCGAGATCATCAGTTGACAATATTGGCAGTGAATCTAACATTTTCTCACGAATTAGACAACACAAGTGCTCAACATAATGATTTCTAAAAAGATGCCGCCCGAGCACATTTATATCATTCGATTAAAATTGATACCGTAAAGGTCAACAAGTTTAAATGAAATTTAGATAGTTTTTTTTAAAAGAAATGTTTCATGATTACCAATCATTGATTAGTTTGAACTGTGGCTCAATTACCTGCAGAGGCCGGCGCTATTCTCTTCAATATCACCATTGCAAACTGTATCGACTAGGCCGCTAGGTGTTTCTTTTTGAATTGGAATCGGACACAATTTTCGAAAATTACTTTCTTCTTTTGTATTTGTTCCTGGGATTACCTCTCCGGGTTCTGTGCTGAATGGGATATTGTGCATCTGGAATTACAATGCCAAAGTCATTCAAATGTAAATCATTTATGCATCGTGTGCACTCACTCGAAGTAATGTTTGCAACTCTTTTGGTTCTTTGTCTCGTAGGTAGAATAAGCAATTTCTTGGATGATGCGAATGCAATCCTAGCTTCGCACAGTAATCAGATAAGCCACATTTTGCTCCCATTTTAAATGGTTTATTACATCCATAGCAGAATTCATATTTACATTGTGAACAAGTGAAATGCATACATCCACCCCTAAAAGTTGGAATTATTTTTTTAAAAAAACTAGTTTTCGGTATCGGATTTTACAATTCATACCTTGCAAGTGAATACTTGAATTTACACTTTGGGCAAGAGATTCCATGCAACTGTAAATGTTGAGCGACCCCTTCATTTTGTTTATCCGGATCGTTCAAGTCTTTCCATTCGGCAAATTGGTCACATGTGATTCCTTCATGTTGACTCTCCCACTAGAAAAAATAACAAATAGTTTAAAAATTCTTTCAAAAGTTCTACGCTTGCGTGCATTAAACTTACAGTCTTCCTACACTGAGCACAAGTTACACTACCACAATCGGGGCAAATGAGTCGCTTTTGTCGGGGACGTGCAAAGAAACCAGAAGAACACTGTGGATTAAAAAAGGTGACGGAATCAACATTATAGAACTCAGACATATCAAAGAGGATTAAATTTCTCACCTGAACACACCATTTGAAATTTGGATCTTGCATTAGTGTTCTGTCTCGTAATTTTCTTTGGAATAGCTCATGTACATCGGCTGCAATTATATTTTTCAATAAAATGTCCAAATTGGAGAAATATTCCAAAACATCGTCCTCGGTTGTCTCGGATGCATTGAGATCGGGTAATTTACAAAATGGACATGAGCAATCTGTAATACTACGGTCGGTAATCTGCGAATAAATGCTATTAATTATATCATTACATTCATTTCCAAGTGTACTAACTCGATTTACCTGAATTGTAAAGTAATTTCTGGAACATTCTTGACAACAACTGTGTGTGCACTTTAACATTGAAACCATTTGATTCAACGGATAAGTTTCCGTACAGAGTTCGCATTCCTGTTGCAACAATCGAATGGCATGCTCAATTGTCGTGCATTCCGTAGCTGCCCAAATTGAGACGTCTTCTTTGAATTTTTGTTGGATCAACTCAGCAGCCAATAAAGCTTCAGCATGTATACGTACTTTACCTTCATCCATTAATCTTTGTGCCAGTGCCTATTTAATTCAAATGTCATTAAATTGTATTGATTAATATAAGCTTTGACTTAATTTTACCTCAAAATCCTCTTCGGTATTCGATTCGATAATTTTCACTAAATTTGGAATGACTTTTTTGCTTGTGATAGGTTTTTCGTCGTCTGACGTTTGATAGTTGTCATCACTAAAGCATGTTTCATAATATTTCTTCTTCGGAATGGATTGTTTTTCGTATGATGTGGATGGTTTGTCTGCATCTATTTTGGTGGCTTTGCTAGTGCCAACTACTGTGCTTGTTTCTGTATTTGATTTGAAAAATAGCTTCGGCGGCACAATTTTCGACGGTTTTTTGCTAACTTTTGGCGTTTGCTTCAGTTGCTTGTTTAATAATTCATTTTGAATATTTCGAATGCTTGCCGATGGTTCAGCAAATGATGGACGACGCACTGGGATTTTATTTTTAATCACTGATTTTTCGGATGGATTTTTTTTCAATTGCATTACACTTATCTTGCTGGAACTACATTGTGTTATAACGGGGACAGTAATTTTTTGATATTGATATGATTCGACTAATTTTTCACTGGCCACCGATACCGTTGACATGGACGAATTAACTCTTGTATTTTCTTTGCTGTTTGTACTATCCGATGCAGATATATCAACACTTAATTCTTCTAGTTCTGATTCTGTGTCGTTGGCATGAAAAATTTGATTTTCAGACATTGACATCGATTGGGACTGAGATTCGCTTTCGCTAGCTTCATGTTCACCATTGAGAATTGGTGTATTTTCCACGGATTCTTTTGAAAGTTCGCCCTCTTCGACTTCATCAGAGTTTACATTTATGTTTTCCTCCGAATCAATAACGGATTGAATATTTTGCTGTACAGTACCCGATTGTTCTTCAGAATTCGCTTCAATTGTTGGTAAAACGCTCTTATCCCTCTCTGAAATACTATCTTGTGGATCCGGTGAATAAACAGATGGTTGATCGGGCGATTGAATCGGTGAGCTCACTTGTGAATCGGTGCTTGGCTCTACAGATTGTGATTTTTCTCTCAAATCCGTTTCGCGGAAATTCACCGAGACAATAGATGATGTGTGCAGTGATTGTTGGATTTCAAGCATCACATTCTCATCAACAGAAGGAACAGCAAGGTTCAATGGTTCTGGACTAGACGGTGTTTCGGCTGCATTTTCCAAAATGTGTTCTTGTATTCGAACATGATTATTATTGGAATCAATTGTAATCAGTTGTTCATTTTCTTCTCGATTCTCATCAAATTGCACGAATTCTTCATGATTTCCGGCGGTTTCTTCATTGAAAACACCTACTTCAATAGGAGAACTGTCCTCTAAAACTTCAATATTGTCCAAAATCCCAAGATTTTCTTCACCATGCTCAATTTCACTCGTTTGGCTTTCTCGTGCTTCGACAAAGACCTCACTTTCAACACTTTGACTACTCCGTTGAAATACGTCATCATCTTCATTATAATATTTAACATCTTCACTAATAACCGACTCTTCATCACTTATATCTTCCCAACTGTCACTGAATTCACTTTCACCCTCGCCCATATCGTCCGAATAAATGATGTCATCATCGCTCAAATAATCATCATTATCCCCGAATTCTGATGCGGACATCGCAATATCCTCGTCAATTTCATTTTTCATAAGTTGAATCAAAGACTTTGTGTCCTCTACTAATTTGGATAAATTACGATTTTTCATATCTTTCATCGATGCAACGATATCTAACGAATTTTCGTCGATTTGGTTCAAAGCACTACTTGAAGATGGTTGATTCGTTGCATCCACATTTGGCGGAACTGGCGATTCAATTGTGTGATTGTGCTCTTTATTGTCATCATCATGAACGGCTTGTTCAACAATAGACAATGAGAATGTTTTCTCATTCGAAACACCAGGAAGGGCATCAACGTGATCCACGGCTTGTGTTTCATCCGCAATAACTGTTGAATCTGATAAATATCCAGTATTCTGTGAATCGGATCGATCAATTATGATTGAATTTCTTCGTTGATCTTTTTGTTGTCGTCTTAACTGCTTTTCAAGTTCGCGAATCCGTTTTTTATCCATTTGCTTTTGCGTGAATCGTGCACTCGATTTTGTGACAACAAATAGAGGTTTATTTCGGAACGATTGCTGTATGACTTTGATTTTTTGTGGCTGATTTTCGACTTGTGATGAAGTGGACGCGATCTCATCGATTTCACCATTTTGAATCGGCACATTTTGTTCTGGCACACTTTGGAGTTGATCATGTGGAGTTTCATTTATTATAGGATTCTCTTCTATTCTAATTTCCTCTGGTCCATCTTGTCCTTGAAGAACTTCAACTGGTGTTTTTATATCATTTGCCGCTTCTGTGCGAATTTCCGCCGTTTCCATAGGTTCTAAAGGAGTTTCCATTTCGATTGGTTCCAAAAGTGTTTCCATTGGTGTTTCATTTACACCATTCAAAGTAATATTTTCCTGAACCAACACTTCTTTTTGTTCAGATTCAGGTGTTTGCACCAATTCCTTGTTAATCAATGCAGCCACGTCAGGCACAACGTCTTGTATATGCCTCGAAACGAAATTTTTCACATCAGTTTCAACGTCAGTATTCTGATCAAATTCGTTTGTAATCTTTTGCGGAAGGGGACTTTTGACATGAATACGATCCAAACGATCACTTTGGTCTAAATTGGAGAAGCTTGATGCGCTAGAAACCGATTGACTAGTGCGCGACATCAACATATTACCGACTAAATTTTCAATTGTACTCAAAAGTGTTTCGGTTTGTTTAGATTGTTTCTCTTCCATGCTGCCGATAATTGCTTCGATATCTCGTAAAATATCACGCTTGTCTTCGTTCGCTTGTGCATCATTCTCTTTTGAAAATGCTTCTGTTTCTTCCCCTTCTATTGAATAATTCTCATTATTTTCTGATTTATTACCATTGATCGATGGTTGCATATCATTCGCTGGTGGTGATTCCTGAATTTTCTTCAAAAATGGTTTCATTTGCAAACGATTTAGTTCGGCCAATGCCATTTCCATGTTTCCATTGTGAGCGGTCAAGGAGGAAACAATGTCTTCACGCGAATAATTTCCCAATGACTTGATTGTATTGAAAGCTTCTTGTCGTTGTTCGATGCATTGAGTAACAGCATGCCAAACGCTTCCCTTATTTTTTATCAATACATCACGCGCTTCGGTCGACGATATTGTTCCAACAATGTTCTCTTTGTGCTCCTGTCCATACTTTGTTGCAAGCGTTTGTACTGTTTCAATTAATTTCATCCAATTCTCATTTAACCAAGTAAGCGGATCACCATCTGTTGTATTTGCTAATGCAACTTGAATCTCATCGAAGGTATAATTATTTGCACCCTTTGGAAAAAATGAAAAAAACATTGAAATGTATTTATGCAGTTCTTATGCGATGTAAGTAATTTACCAATAACACTTTGTATAGATCCACATCATTCACTGATTGACGCCTTTGATTGGTTGTATGAAGGTTTTGCAATTGAATTGCATTCACCTGGGGTGTCTGGATAAACGAATTTATTTTTGAATAAAAAGAAGTAAAATTGAAGTCGAAAGAAAGGCGGATATTACCGTGGGTAAAAATTGTGGTGTTGGTTGAATCAAGTGATTATGGTTGTTATGGTTGTTGTTGCTCTTTATATTTGAGCTAATTAAGGTTTTCAAACTCTGATCAATGTATGCCAATATGTCCAATGGTGCATTTTGATTTTGATTGGTTGCATGGGTTAGGTAAGATTCATTTGTTGGACCTTGAGTGGACGACGGTGGCTGATTAGATGTCGGAACATCCTAAACAAATATCAAATTGCTCTGGTTAATATCAAGTAAATGCGGGCTAGTTATGTGTGTATATAAACCTTTACGATGTCTTTTTCGATTATTTGCTCACGTGTATTTTTGTGCGAATTTTCAGTATTTTCTGTATTGTGTGACAAGTCCTGTGTATTGTTTTCTATGATATGTGACAGTGTTTGTTCGTCGTCGTTTGTGGCAACGCCATCGTTTGTTGATGGTATTATTTCGTTACCCTGGGTGAATCAAGAGATGGGAAGCATTTTTGAAATGGTTTCTATTTTTGGCATGATTTTGACTTAAAACTCACCTTTTCCACTGAATCATTCGTTTGTGTATCGTCCATTACAACTGGTTGGACATCAGGATGAATGTGGGCTTCAGTTTGTCCTAAAATTTCCATAACTTCTAAATCGTTTTCACTTTTTTCCGCTTCAGATTCTTGTTCTTTGTCATCTTGTTCCAATTCGCTTCCACTTTCGGTTTCGCTTCCATTGCTCTCATAACTTTTAAGCTCGGAGACATCATCATTTGATGTCGAAACCATCCAGAAGCCTTGATCAATTGAACGAAAGAAAAATGCGCTTAATGGATTACATACGCAGGTGAAGGAATGAGATAAAAAAAACGAGCACAAATTGGACAAATCAAACGAATACATAAAAACAAATAAGAAATGCGATTTTTGGCAAATTTTCTTCTTTTTTTTATCAGTGAAGCTCTTTAGTTTTATTCAGACGAATATTAAATGAAAACAACAATCCAACAAACACATTAAACAAGCAGACAAAAGTTATGAACATATAAAAAAAAACTTTAAGTGGATCTAAAATGTTGTGTATTTTTGTTTGTTTTTTTCTCTTTCATTTCAAGTGGATATACAAATAAAAATGTTTTAGTACTACATGAGATGTATTTCAGAAATGTATTGCATTAAAATATGTTGATGTGTGTTTATGCTTATGATTGAAAATTATTTATACATTGTAAGTGTACATATCAGTGTAGAAATTAATTGTGAAAAATATATATGGTTTGTTTCGTTGTTTTTTTTTTGTATGTATATAGAGTATATGTGTCGGAACCGTGTTTTGTACAGTCTTAAAACATCACTTGTTTGTTTTTGTGTTTTCATTTAGCGTGTTTGGTGCCAGGCCAAAACGAGATTTTTCTCGAAATTTTTTTCGTCCTACCTTCTTTTGAGATATCAGCCGAATCATTTACTTTGCCATTGGTCGATGGTTTTTTCTCTTTGTCTGGACTAATTTGCTTTCGAATTGCTGTGGCCGATGGTGTTTTACAACAAATTGCACATATTTTCACATTTTTTTCATTGACAAATGTACAATATTCGCATGTCCAATCATAATCGGGAGTTACTGGCGGCCCTTCGGGTGATTCGTCCGGTACATTATTCAAATCCGTTTCAGTTGGTTCCGATTCATTTTTGGGCGGTGTTGGTTCAGCTTTTGGTGTTACTTTTTCAATTTTTGCAATTGAATTTTTCACCGTCTGCACTTCAGTCAATAATTTCGGTTTAACAACTCTTTCTATGCTTTTTTTTCGATCCAACGGCTTTGAAACTGCCTTAGAAACCATCTTTGTCGTCGCTGTGGCCTTTTCGATAGATTTTACCGGTTTTTCTATCGGTTTCGAAGTGGTTGGTGCAGTTTGAATTTTCTCAATTTTTGTCGGCACCGTTGACTTTGGTTTCCATAAATCACTTGAACTTTCGTCCATTGATGATGCTTGCGCCACTTTCTCGCGTATTTTCGCCTGTACAAGAGCTCGAGTACCTAATTCCGTTTCTGAATCTTGTGTTGAATCTGACTTGATTCGTTGCGATTGTCTTCGGTCTGTTCGAGATGTAATTGAACGAGCTGATGAACTTGCTCGACGTTCACGTCTATAGCCACGACTTGAAAATATTTCACTATCTTCATCATAACTTCGTTGCGGTGAACTCTTCGAACTATGTCGTGAAGAACGAATTGACCTTCCTTGGCTATCACGTCGATCACTGCCTTTGCGTCGTAAATCCAAATTATCCATGTAACTTGTAATACTCTCCGAGCTCTCATCGTCGGTTAAATGTTGTTCAATATAACTATTGCGATAGGGTAAATTGCGCGTAGATATTGATGATTTACGAGATTTTGTGCTAAGCGCAGGCGATGCGGCACGAGATGGTACACGTGAATGTGGTCTCGAAATGGGGAAAGGATACGCTATTTAAAATAAAATTATAATTAAAATATGAATCCATTGAGCTTAAATACAATTTCGTCAATTACCATTTGGTATCATTCCAAAATATCCGTCCGGTTTTCGGTAGCTTCCATTATTTATCCAAGTCGTGCCATTCATATCAAACTGTTGTGGATAGAATGCTGGAAGGTTTAAACTCATATTGGACCCATTCAAATGTTTTGCATTCCATTGTGCTTCGGGGCCATGTGGATTCCATAATTGTTGTTGACTACAATTCATGCATGAACCTTGCATATGATTCTAAGTGAAATGGAAAACAAATCGATTTCGATCAATAAATTCGGGTGTAAATATCAAGACATTGAACAATAAAGAAAAAAAATGTTAATAATTGTTGTGAATTTATTTAATTACATGATACTGAATCGGTTGATGTGGCATATAGCCGAATGGTGGCGGCTGTGGACTGAATGGTTGATGCGGTGGCATTTGCCAATTGCCGCCATTATGGCCACCATTTAAGTTTTGTACAGATGAACTGAACGCTTTGGATCGTGAATCGGATAGTGTGCCTTCATCCTGTGTATCGTCAAAATCATTGAAGTTTTGATTAAAACGAGCATTGCCATTCTTAAAATGACTTGCAAAATTTGAAAAACTGCCGGATCTAAGTCTTGGACCAAATGAATTAGATCGATTCGATGAATTTCGATTGTCATTATTAATTCGCTAAAGAAGCATCAAAGCATAAAACAAAACAAAATTCAAGTTTAGCACAACACATTTTTTTGATTTCTTCTCCAAAATAAAAATTAGTCACAAACTGCAACGAAAAAAACACATTTCAAATTAATAAAAAACACCTTACTTCGAAAGGAGATGCATTCATTGATGCTCGATTTGAGTCACTGCTTCCGCCTGTTTTCAATGAGTCTTGATAGTCGTGATACCGTTTTTGCATAATTTCCATTCGATCTTTTGCGTTATTTGTATGAATTTTGATGCGTTCCATTGCCAACGATGGTAATTTCGTTGAGCAATCCGAATTTGGTGTTCCCGGTCGTGAATTGATTTGTTGTACTTCTTTTTTGTTAGGTGTTTCTGGTGATTTGTTGCCTGGCACGATAAATCGCTTGATGCTAGACACTCGATCGCGTAACGATAATGCTGGACTCGGCGGAGCAACTGGTTGATGTGGCAACGTCTGAATATATTAACACAAAAACGATCTTAGAATTGTTGTTTTGAAATGAATTTATAATTAATCGTACATAATCCTTTCGTGGTAGTAATGGTGTCATTCCGGTTTTCTTTCGTCTAGGTGGCGGAACTGGTAGCAAAATATCACCCTTTGGTGGTAACGGCGGCTTTATCTCTGTCTGCACGACGATTGTCTACGTAATAAATGAGTCACTTTTTTATTAGCAACACGCGAACTTTATAAATATGATGAAACGGTTTTTTTTTACTTTTCTTATGTGCGTATTTCGCTTGGGATGACGATGAAACATATCATCGCACGATGAGCAAAAAAGTTGCGAATTGCAATGATCACATTTTAATTTGGCAGACATCGACCCACACAAATCACATTTGATACCCTCCAGAGATTTGCCATCTATAAATATATAGTACAGTGTTTTGTTTTTGTTTCATAAAAATTAATCATCAAATTAATAAAAAGCGATTAGCTAAAAAATACTGTGTGTAAAAAAAAGATATGAACATACTTGTGGCTTTGATGGGTTGCGCATTTGAATATTGTTCATTTGAAAATTCAATAATTTCATAGTCTGGATCTGGTGCAATCTTCTTTGGCGGTAGCATTGGTGGCTTATTGCTCATTGTATTGCTTGTGTTAAAATGTGCGTTATTTCCGAAATTAAAAATCGACCCGTTGATACCGATACCAAATAAACAAATCGTATTTTCGTTTTAATTATTTGACGGAAACTTTTTTTCTGTAAACACTTGTGGCTATAGGCTGTCTAAATATAATCTGAAATCAATACAAAGAAAAAAAACGTAAGAAAAAAGGAAGCGTGTCTGTATGATGTAAAATTGTTTGGCTTTCATCCAATGGCGGAAAAAAAAACAAGATTTAAGTAGAATGGTTTTTTCGGTCATCAAAATCGGCATTTCAACACTGTACAAACACCGAATAAATATTGACAGGCGCTATCCAATTGTTTGTATCTTCTTTTTTTGTATGCTTTGAACACAAATACTCGTTGATAGATGCTTGAGATTCTAAGTAATGAACACTTTAATGAACTGCACACTGTTAACCAATTCCTCATAAATCTAATTGTGACAATTTACCGCTTGGACCATTCGAATGGGCGCATAGGTCAGAATGAAATCTCATTTCACCGTATTTTTAGAATGTTGAACTAAATATAGAAAGCCGTTTGAAATTGAAAGTTAGAATTGTCATTTCATAACGGATTTTAATCGTCATTAACGTACACGGCACAGAGTTCATTCCGCTTTTAGTATACGCATTTTTATTTGGGAGCATCGTACTGTGCAAAACCCATTCATTGAATCCAAATCCAGAAGAGAATGAATGCGACGTGAATTTTGAATATGGATACGTTAATCTCATACATCTCTAGCCAATATAATAATATTTCCTCGTGTCTCGCAAAATTTTCTCTAAATATAAAAATACATATTTAACATTTTCGCGCTGTTTCTTTCTCTGTCCTTTTGTGTGTCTCTATCTCTCTGTCTCTGTGAAAATATAATTCGCAAAATTCTAGTCAACGTGGACTGCACTTTTAAATGTATATTTCTATTTTTTTTTTCGTAAAATTTCGCTAAATAGAAAATAGCACAGCATCTTGCTATCTATTTATATAGCACAGCTCAAAACGGCTGAAATTCGTCATGAAACTGTGCACAATCGCACATGAAAACATCAACCGCAATTGAATCGGATAACTAGAAGTTAAAATGCGACGAAAAAGTATTTCGTTTTTGATGATTTTAGGACAGAGAAAATTGCATCTACATTGATTTTTTTTTCTAAAATTCCTTTCCTTTTTTTTCTTTTTCTAAAATTTAACAGACAGGCCATTTTTTATCACATTTTTTTAGATAATTTATTGTTCATCAATTGTTTAATAATTTGGAAATTTAAATTCTAAAACTTTTAATCACCATATTTTTTAAATTGAATGGATTTTCGTGGATTTATTTTTCATTGATATTTTCGTGGAAGATATTTCACCGGATTTATGCCGAAATTCAAACGAAAGAGAAAAAAAATACCATTGACTTATTGTACCGGAACGACGGTTTGCAAAGAAAGTGCCTCTCTGAGCGATTATCGATTCAAACTGACCACAATAGAGACATTGGTGTTCATTGTAACTCGTCCCTGCGAGCCAAAGCGAATTTTACCGAAAGACCAGAAATACGAAATCGAAAGAATATTGTTCATACACGCACAGCCGCTAAAAATAAACATATTTAAAACAACCGTCCCGTTCCGAACAACAACTGTGCACACGACGGGCACTCAATTCGCAATTTTAATTTCCCATGTTTGTGCCATTGCTTCAGATGTATAAATCAAATTGAAATGAGACCGTTTTATGTTACATTGAAATAGTAAAAAAAAAACGAATTTACATTGAAGTAATAAAATTCTTTGAAATATTGCAAACCAAAATTTTGCAAATTGAACCACATCAAATAGTTGTAGAAAAGCCATTCAAACTTATTATTACAATGAAAATTGATTTAGAAAAATCATATTTTCTGAATGACCAAATCACTATTTTTACTTACGTTTTTGCGTGAACATTTTCAGTATAATGCTCGTATTTTATTTATGTTTGAAAAATTGCCAAAAACATTTTGTCACGTTTCAAAATTTGATGCAGCTGTCGAGTCATGCAGCAACTTATACATACATTTTATATGTTTTAGATTCTTGTTAGTACTTTGAACTCGGTATACGAAATGAAACCAACAAAATTGAGATAAAGCTTAATAAAACTTTGTTTAAGTTATGGGGATAATCACGAATTGTAGATCGACTAATTTTCAATAATAAACGCTAGTTCTGCTAACATATGTCCCACTGGTTTTGAGACTAAATTCAGGCGTTTATTGCGTTCCATATACAAACGCAAATATGTCAACCCAGCACATAGCACATAAAACGGTACCTCTGCTTTACTGTCAAACACAAACTATTCAAATATATTCATTCGCGATGGCGTACAAATTGGATTTGCGCAAGTCTGTCTCAAATGGTTTTGGCGAGCTAAGTTCAAAACAAATTCTGCATGTGTCTAAAATTGAACCAATCTGTCTTCGAACCATGTATCGTGTTTCATGGACTTAGTATGAATATAAAGATTCTAGAGAATGCAAAAAGTACGGTCGTATTCCCAATTTAAATGCTCAAACCCTTCAAAATTGTCATCAAGTACCGAAAACCGGGTTGGTCAAGCAAAAATTCATTTTTGGTGATTTTTATGGTTACAGCACATCCAAATTTGAACCAAAACAATAGACTTAGACACGATCATTAGGAATCAGCAAAATAAGTTACGAAAAAATTACAAAGGGTGTCAAAAATTGGATGTTTACTTCACTCTATAGCATGTTGCACTGAAAGATTCATCATTTTGGATAGTGAAACATTCATCGCCAAATCGAACCATGAATCAAATGCAAGTGGTTTCTTTTGCATTGATTATGTTGGGGCACTACTATATAAGGTTAGAGACGTCAACAAATCGAACTTTGATAAACGGGTGTTTGTATGGTAGGATCTTCTTTGAAAGGTGTCTTAGAGCCATTATTCGAACATTAAGTGCTGTAACGTAAGGTAACACCTCCATTCCATGCTCCATTATCAACCAAATATTATTAAAATCGATAGAAGTCGTTGGGAACTATCTGATTAAAGACAAAATTGTGCCTTGCAAGCAGAAAAAATCACAATAATGGCTCACTTCTTAAAAAATAGCATTTCCATGAAAAAAGGACCATCTTTTTAACTTCACAAAAAGACACCAAATTAATTATTTCTCGTCTGTTTTTGGATGTATATTATAGGCGAAGGTCCAAAATACTTGGATGGATTGAGAGAAAGTTGAAAGAAATTGACATATCGGTCTGCCAAAGCATGATTTTGAAGGTTCGACGCATACTGAGAAAAATCGAAGACAATGGTCCATTCAGTGTACTGTAAATGTGTTTTTCGATAGATTATGAATAAAGCAAACTATCATGAAGAGAATATTTCAATTTGGTTGTTTGGTGTTCAAATGGCATTCGTTTGAATTTGTCTCAAAACCAGTGGGACATATGTTATACTAATTTGTAGTGTACATTGTAATTCGTAAGCGTCGTGACAATTCTGGATTTTATGTGGTCGATTGGTGTCCATAAATTAGATAACGTTGTTCAGCAAAGTGAACGTATTTATTGTCTAAACGATTAGGTTTGTGAACCATTAGACAGCGACCTTATCATTTTGTGAGAGAAGACATTTAATCTGTTCATAAGCTTATGGATTTTAGGTTATTTTGTTTATTTTTTACGTATTCAAAGAATTAAATTCTACAATATTTTCTGTATTATGTCGCAACGGCCAAAAAATGCTGCAGCCGAAGTGGCTAAGAAGTTGGCTGAATTGTTCAATGAAATAGACGAATTTGATTTTGATCTCGTTGAACTACCAGAAAAACCAAAAAGAAAGCACCGTTCAAACGCAAAGATGAAGTTTCACCTACTCAATTCTACTCAAAAAAAGAGGAAACTCGACAACAGATGATAAAAATGTGATGACATCAATTGTTTTTTCAAAACAATTTTTTTTTGTTTCAAAAAATTATATTCTTCCACAATTTGAATTTATAATCAAATCTTCTTATAAGGCTCTAAGCCCCGCCTTTTCGGCATTCGTGACCCTTATTAGAAATATTCTCTATACGAAACAAATCTTCTTCAAATGGTCACGAGTATGCGATTTGTGCGGGCTGGGAAGTCTATGCCGTTTGTCCGTTGATTTTCAATTACATTTGGTTCAGTTTTTCTTGCGTTCTATATACAGTGAGCTGAGACTTATAAACAATAATTAAATACAATGAGCTGAGAATGCTGTAAACGAAACATGTGTCGATTAGCATCTGAAAAACTTTGTCGATTGCGGTAACGCTGGCTACACCAAAGTACTGGAACGATTGCCAATGGATGCGACAACCATTTTCTTGGATGGCAACGATTTGGGCGATCTATCGAGCCACATGTTCATCAGCAAGCGCAAACTGGAGCAAAATAACGAGCTTACACAATCGCACATTCAATGGTGTACCGAGCTTAAAGGTTTTGCATCTCGAAAATAATCAAATTGAAGAGCTGCGCGAAACAGGTATTAACGGCGCAACGTTTGATTTGACGACCTCCAAATTCTTTCAATTGGTAATATCTGCATGGCCCTATCAGTTTCGATTTGATAAAGCACTTCGCTTGATGTGTGAAATAAAAATCGCCCATGAAGTTGGATGCAGGTGTTTTAAGATCACGCAGGCACTAATAAAAGATGCTGTCGCAAGCACAACTAAATAGTGGAGAAGTTCCCGCGACGAACATGAACCGGCGCTGCCCTGGATTTACATGTTCACAACTAAGATGATCTTTTAGACACTCGTCGATTGTTGTCATCTCACAAAAAGTAACTAGTAACAATAAAATGCTGAAAATATAAAGAGATTTTTAGTCATTTTTCTAAACAAAATTCACAAAAACGTAATGAGCTTCAAAACAGTAATATACACCGATTGTGCCGATTTGTTGCGTGAACATTTCGGGTACTCGACGCACAGAAAAAATGTTTTACTTACCAAATGTAAACACCTCTCATTTCTCAATTGAACTTTTCGCAAATATTTCCAACTATTTTATATGGTTCGAAAAATTGCTGAATTCGAAATTTGTAAGAAAATTTGCTTGCATTGAATATTAAACAAATAACAGTAAAACAAACAATAACCAATACTATATTGCATTCATTGCTTTTCTATTTGATATCATTTAATACGTCTTTTTCGTAAACTATTGACCTGTATATACGCAATGAATGAAGAATACAATAATAATTGCAGTGCAATTGATTAAATCGACTGAAATGTCATTTTCGTAGATTTTACTTTGATTGCGCTATTATTAATTTTCTCTGAGAGATACGTTCGTTATTCGTGACATTATCACTATTTTACTTAAAAAAAACTACATTATTTACAATGTTCACTATTTTTCAAGGCAAATTGTATTGACGATGTTATATACAATTTCTTATAAACTATATGATAATCAAAATCGTTGAAATATAAATATGTACGACTGAACGTGTCATCGTGTGTAATTGCGAAATCGATCTTATTTTGTTCTGCTTCCAATATCATTCGTTGTGCTTCTTCATCAATGTTATCACTTGCTGCACCTACTATGACTATACATTTAATTGATGGAAATTTCGTTTTTATTTCAACAATACTAATGTCATTTAATGGTAGCGTAATATATAAATTCTCTAATTTAGTCAAAGTACCATTGATAAAATTGTCGAAATTATGTATGAGTGTATTATCTATATTCAATTTAACTAATTGGCTATTTGGCTGAACAACTACTCGAGATAATTGACTGTTGCTTGCATAGACGTTTCTCACATTCAACGGTAGAATAAGTGTTGTCACTGATGTAAAGTCAATCATCAACTCATCTAATGCATCGAAATGTTTTAATTCAATGCTTGACTTTAAATTTGGATTGTTAGAAATAATCAGTCCGTTTAACTTGTTCAAATTATCAAATAATCCAACGGGTATGTATCTTAAATCGTTACTGTACAAATTCAAAAATGAAAGTTCACTATTATATTGAAACAACTGAGAACTATCTATTTGGATTTGATTTTCACGCAAATCTAACGACTTCAAATCTTTTAAAGGTTCAAATACATTTTTATCCAAAAATGTTATTTGATTTGATGACAAATCCAAATATTTCAATGACGATAGGCCGACAAGTGCATTGCTGGCTATTTCGTTGATTTTGTTATTTTGAAGATTTAAAATTTTAAGCTGTCGACAGTTCGATAAAATACCGCTCGATAGTTTTTCTAAATTATTCGAATCTGCATGAAGAAATTCCAAATTTGGCCATTCACATATTGACGTACCATCGATTGATGATAAACCATTGAAATTTATTTCAAGCGAATAGACATGCTTCGTTTGTTCAACAAAAGCTTTAGGTACCATTATGTTTTTACCAGCTATTGCTATCTGTGTTATGTGATACATATGCCTGAAACAATATGAATTATTAGGATTTTGTAATTCATCTGCATGTATAACACATGTGTAACACTCTTCCTGGACTTGTGCCAATGCCAAACTCGACGATAAATAAACAATCGTGATTAATTGCAAGAATTGCCTAAAATAGATATTTTTTTGTTCCGACTTTATTCATCTCAGCTTAATTTTACCTTAAAATTTTAAACTCGTATGTCTCACAGAGAAATTAATTCAAAAACCAAGTTGAGAAAGGCACATAATATTTAAAAAAAATTGTTTTGTGATTTTAACGTAAACAGAAAAAAAATTCAAATTATGGGATTTTCATCTTGCGTTGGTAGTTTCTCTCACATTAGTGCGGAAAAGTAAAAAAAAAAAAAACAGATTTGTTTTCCAGAAAATTAAAAATAATTTTCTAGTAATGAAAGTAAATAAAATGTATGTTTTCTCTACCATTTCCCGGGCATTCATACACATATCTAAATTGGATAAAGAAAAACATGCGCGAAAGATGCTATTGTAAAAATTAACTCCATATTGAAACACATAAAAAAATCCATCGATTAGCATAAAGGAAAACGACAACAAAAACATTTTTTTCTAATTTAGTTTTTCACATAGAATTTCCATGAAATATCCAAATTGTCATTTCAATAGAATAAGAATCACAAAAAGTAAAATAAAAAAATAAAGTAGTAAAAGGCATAATTGGGGAAAAAATTAAAACAAAAAGCCAAACGGATCGATTTGTGCGATATTTAACGATGAAAAAAATCAAAAAATCAATACATATAAAAATCATGAATGAAGAATGAATATAAATTTATTTTATTATTTATTTATTCACCGTCTGATCACAGACTGATTTTATCACAATCATTTACAATATCATTAAAAAAATAAATGTCCAAAAAAGTAATTTCAAAAATTAAGCGACAGTAAAAATCTCACAAAAGATAATAAAAAACGCATAAAATCCAAACAATGCATATCAGAATTCAATTCGAAAATATTTTCTGTATTATGTCGTTCGCATAATACAGATTAGTATCGAAACAGTCGTATTTATTGCATGTGTATATTTGGTACTGTGATCGTAAGCCATCGACAAAGGAGGAAAGCGACATGAAAGTACATCTAAAAACATCGGTGCAACGGCCAAAACGTGGTGCAGCCGAAGTGGTTGAGAAGAGGTTGACCTACAATGAAACAGGCGAATTTGATTCTGATCACGTTGAACTACCAAAAAAACCATTTCAAATGTAATTTCCTTTTTTTAATTTTTAAAGAAAAATCAAGGCTCAGGTTCACACAATGAAAATGATGGCGATGATAACGATGCGAATGGTAACATCACTTTGATCAGAATCGAACGAATCGTTGAAGATTATCGGCAGAATATTACTCAAGAGGCGTTCAGTCGTTTTAATTTCGAAGTCTAGACGAATGCTACGGTGGAACGCCTAAGAACAACGACCAAACATATGTAGTTTTTTATATAGGACCAGAGTCCAATCAAATTCCACGAGAGATATGCAATGCAATCACTTGTCAACTTGGGTTAAAAGACGAAAAACTTATCGAATTTTTACTTGGTTTAAGTTATTTTTATTTATGTTTGTGGTGCAAGATTCACATGATTAAATGCATTGAAAATTAGTACAAATTATTAATTTTCGGGTGTTTTTTTATTTTGTAATACCAAAGCAAAAGTTCGCTGAGAGATGCATGTGAAAGAAAAATAGATGATGACCGATGTTATACTGGATATTATTCAAATTGTGTTTTAAACATATTATAATCAGATGTAATTTATTGATCGTTTTTGCGACGTTATGGTTTTTTTCGGAAAACATTACATCATTGGTCGTCCCATACCACGGCCAGGCATCATGGGTGGTGCTTCACCTCCAGCTTTGGGACTCTTGATTGTTTCGTCTACGGATAAAATGAGGCAGGTTGCTTCTCCGGCTGCTTGCAATGCATTCAATTTAATTACTGACGGTTCCCAGACGCATGCTTCGAAGTTATCAGCAATGTGTTCTTTGGTCACATCGACTCCGTACCAAGCGTTTCCTGAAAATAAACCAAAATCACATTTTAGACTTCAGAATCGATATTGATTGTTGCGAATAAATGTATACCTTGCGCATGTTTTTGACGAAGTTTGTTCAAGATGTTTGTTGCATCAAAACCAGCATTATCGCACAATTGACGTGGAATAATTTCTAATGCCTTGGCAATAGCGCCGATCAACAATTGTTCTTTTCCAGCAATTGTACGTGAATGATCACGCAACATCTTTGACAATTCCATTTCAATGGCACCGCCACCAGCAACGACTGCATCATTTTTGATTGTACGACGAACAATCATAATGGCATCGTGCAATGATCTCTCAGTTTCTTCCAAGAATTGCTCTGAACCACCGCGCAAGATCATTGTGCATGTTTTAGCATTGATACAACCTATCAATAAAAAAAACCATTTTGTTAAATATGCTCCGAAAAAAATAAGTAAAAGTAAATAAATAAGTAAAAAAAATAAATAAAATAATTTTACCTTGGAAAATGTTGAATCGTTCACCGCCAATTTGTTGTTCTTCGAACAAAGCACAATTGCCCAAAACACTGTCGTCCAAATCGTTAACAGTGGTCATAACGGCACCACCGCAAGCCTTCATTGTACGCTTCAAATCTTCTTCTGGAACACGTCCTGCGCAGAACATGTCACGATCAGCAAAATATTGTGTGGCCACATCGCCGATGGGCAATTTTGATAGTACAACATTTGCGCCTGATGCATGAATTTTAGCCAATTTGTCATACAAAATTTGCCATTCAGCGTCCACAACTTTTTGATATTCAATGACATTATCAACACGAACCTCGGCATTGTCACGTTCGGCCTTCAATTCCAGCTCAATGTTGAGCAAAGCGATCTTACAATTTTTGTATGTTTTCGGTTGCATTTCAAAACCGGCGTATGAGAACGTTTTCTTGAATGCAACACCGGCTACAATTTGTGAATCTTCCAATGCGCCACCGCTTACTTTCTTAATACCGATCATGTTCAATGGAAGCAATTCATCCAAAAGGAGTACAGCGTCAACAACCATTTTTGAAAAGAATTCCTTTTGTTGATGAATCAATTTTGAATTAAGTGCAGTAGCTGCACATTTCTCCAACAATGCACGCTGTTCGTCTTGATTTCCGCGATCAATTGTTACGGCCAATTGATTGATTTTGTCATGGCACAATTGAAGTGCACGACGAACGGCTTTGATAACAATACGTGGATGAACACCTTCTTCAACGAATGGTTTGACTTGTTTCAAAAATTCACCGGCCAACAATACAACACTGGTGGTACCATCACCAACTTCGGCATCTTGTGACTTGGCAATTTCAACAAGTGTCTTTGCAGCCGGATGAACAATATCCAAAAGTTTCATTATTGTTGCACCGTCATTTGAAATAGTTGCTTTGCCGTTACAATCGACAATCAATTTGTCCATTCCACGAGGTCCGAGCGTTGTACGGACTGCATCAACAATCAATTGGCACGCATTTATGTTTGATATCAATTGCGGCTTTCCTTGTGATGTATCGGTGCCCTCTTTGAGCAAAACGATTTGTGGTTGCTGAAATTACATAAAAAAAACATTAAATCATTAAAATTCATTTCAATTTTTTTTTTCCGCTTAATTTTAATTTTTTGCTTAAAATCTATATAGCTGTGCTATTTTAAGAACATTCGAGATGGATTAATGCACACAGTCGTCAAGTACAGTAATACACACTACAACACAAACATAATGTGAGGTTATGTTTAATTATTCACAGACAAAGTTTTGTCGAAAATAGAAATATGCTAGAGTTCAATGTATGAAATGGCATTTGCAGCGTTGGTGCAGCAAACATTTTCGTAAAATTCACATTTCATTCGTGTGCTGCATTTATGATTGAAATTGGCGAAAACTCCGAAACGAAGCACATGACAACTAATGCAATGGTTACATACGGCACATGTGAGATTTCTTTGTTCTGAAACTTTACTTAAATTTATACGATTTCACTGTTTCACCTTGTTTTACATGTTAAATAATGAAAATTTTCAATATAATCTTACCATTTTCATCATTTTGTTGTTGATTTTACAAATTTTCCAATAAAACTAATCACGAAAAATGCACAGCGGTGTGTATTAACTCTTAGCAACTAGGCGATGTTCGGTTTGAATGTAGCTGTGACCGAATGACAGGTCTCCACACATGACTAATAGCGTATGACAAATACCACACTAACACAATCACACACCGACATACCATAACACAATCCCACACTGACATACATCAATGGAATATCCCGAGCTGGAATAGAACGCAAAGCAATGGAAAGCAAACTGTTTGTATTTCTATTGGAAATGAAATATTTTCGTAGTTTTTTTTGTCAATTCAAATATTTTTTTTTATAAAAAAGAAAAAAATAAATTCCATTCATCGTCAATTTGTTACGATTTGTAGGTCAAAATTAACATGTTAACTTATGTACAAAATTAGATGGGACACCAATGTCTATAATATACATAACGATATTTGCACGCTCGTCGAATGTTTATGTGCATTGTGCGCACCGACTGCATTAAATAAAAATACAGCTGATTCGATATATGTGCATCGCTTCATTTTTCATATTAAATAGGGTGATTATTATTATTTACCACGTGAAATATGTGTGTGGATTTCATAAATTCCATCTTATTGGGACACAGTGTGCGCGCGTACGTGCAATGAAAATATTGTTATTGCTCTTTTGAAGAATGCTTCTCAAAGTGCACGATGCACATATTTGTTAAATATATACGCTATATAGCGCATAAGGACACAAACATACAGCATATATGCATCTATATGTATGCGAATGGAAAACGACCACTGCATTGGAGTTTGATGGGGGTTTTTTCGTTGCTTTTTTGCAAATTTTGTTTCAATCAAGTCAACGTAGAAAAGCAAATATGTCTTAAATTTTATTAATTCGTTGTTCGTGCATACTTCCAAAATAGTAATTAAATAAATACAAATTGAGCTTTCCATATCGAACATGGACTGAATTAATTACACAACAAAAAGTGTCTTTTTTCGATTTTAACTTCGTAAACGTAAGGGGAAAAGATCGTAACCACATAATTTGATTTAGGTAGAAAAAAAAAAAAAACAAAACAACCACAACACGGGTAATTGGTGAAGCACACAATCGGTGAGCAAATGTTTTCGAGCCTTATCGCACGCATAAAAAATAGCACAGAAACCAATTTCAAGCGACAAAACATTCGTTTTGCGGAACCAAGAACTATTGCAGTTGTAACGTTGACTTCGATAAAATTGGCATGAAAATTGTGCTCCAAAAAAATTATTATTTCGTACAAATAGAAAAATAGATACAGCACACGAATCAAGGTCGGTTCTAAATATGGTTGATTTACAAGCAAACGATCAAAATAGTCGCAAAGGTTCCGATGGTAAAGTGAAAATTCTAATGGATCGAACACCAAGTTTTTTAAAATCGAAATTTTTATCAGTGCTCGGCAGTAGTAATGACCTAATTAATGGAATAACGACCAAGGTACGGGCATATTATGGAAATATTTCAGGTTTCAACGGAAAATAGTACAGTTTTATTTGTTTTTAGCTCGATATTAACGCAACATTAAGCTCATCATCTGAATCACAGTCAAATGATCGAAATTCAAATAAAAACAGTGGAAAACATACGGATGATGGTAATGGCAATTTTATTATTTATCCAAAATTGATTTCTATTTAATTTGGTTCAAATTAAAAGACAATTTTGAAATGAAAGAAAAAAACGAGTGAATTATTCAATTACAGTTTCACTGGATGAACATATAATTGATTTTGATGCACGAAAGGTGAAAGAGAGAAGAGCGCACGACGAAGTTTCATCGGGGAAATATCGTCATCCGAATTTTATCACTAGTAATATATAGCTGTTAATGCTTTGCAAATTTTTTTTTTTAAATCAACACATGTAATTTGTTTTAGGGAGTAAATCGACGAATACCAAAAAGTGCAATATGATTGATACAAATCCAGAGTCTTCTTTAAGCGAAAGTAATAGTAATTCCATGATCTCAAAGACACCCACATCGGTGCATACATTGGCTGGTGATTTACCGAAAGAAGATTCAATCGATGTGAATCAAACAAAAGACGCTGATAAAACGATTAGCTGCTTATCAATTCCGCGAGGTATGTGCGTTGAAAATAAATAAAAAGTGTTTTCTGTTTATGAAACTGGTATAATTTGAATCAATACTTACCCAGGGATGACTGCATTCGATTCGAATGGAGAAATTGATATTCATCAATTTAGTGTGAGCGAAGCATCAATCGAATTAAAACGATGGGACTATTCGAACTCCGACCACTCGATACAATCGCTAAAATCAATAGCTAGTCTTGAAAGTCAGTGTGAAGATGATACATTGGAGTTCATACGACGCTATGTCGATATTTTATTCGATAATAGTGCTCAACTAACATTGGAATTAAAATCTGAATTTGGCCTTAAATCAAGGGTACGCTTTGAGAACACTTATCTGCATTGATTTTTTTGTTCTTCATTTTATTTTATTTTTTCATTACGTAGACTGAAATCGGTCGTCTTTTATTCGCACGCTTGGTGAGTGCACAGCGGTCACGTTCGAAAAAAGTGAACGAAAACACATTTTATTCGTTGGTTCAACATTTTGCTATCGTGCTATTTGAATGCCATGAAAATGATGATTTCAGCCCAGCTAAAATATTGATGAACATGTGCTTCACGTTTTTCTATGAAGGTTATTATTTTTTGTATTTTTTCATTCAGTATGAAATTGATGACAGTTTCCATCACAGTTTTAAGGTGGTGTTTTGATTTGGTTACGTTATCTTGAAATTCTACTTTCAGTTGATGTGCCGGGATGCGAACCCTATCGTGAATATTTGTATACATACTTACGTTTTCAGCCGATTTGGCAGGCGATTCGTTTTTGGAATGCAGCTTATTTTGACGCCGTACAAAGTGAACGAAGTCATCGTCCAATTCCACAAACGATAACCGTTAAATTGGAGTCCGATTCGAGTGATGAGGATTTGAGCTCGGGAGCAAAATCAGTTCAAAGACATTTGGCTAGAGATGTTCAAGCGAATTTGGAAATGATTAAAGATGATCAAGAATTTCAACGAAACATTTGTTTTGGCCAATTAGGGTAATTTTTTTTTTTTTTTTTTTTTAAACAACCCTATTTCGAGATTTTTTCATTACTTCAATATTTATTTATTGACACAGCACATTCACTTGTAACATGCACGCTTTTGGTCTCAACAAAGAGCTATGTGATGAATTTTTACGGAAGCAAAGTGTCATTTCCAATATTACAAAAGGTATGAGTAGCGAAGACTTTTGGTATTTGAAAATCAAATCCCGTCACATTTCGATGGGATATTTAAATTGAAATTGTTTCTACTTTCAGAACAAGAAAAAATGTTGCACGACAATATCAGCCGTATGTATAAAGAAACGGACAAATGGAGAGCCAACTGAAGTTATTCTCTACCGCAACAGATGAATGGCCTACATTTTAAAATCGTTAAAAAAGCATATTTTCTCAACATGGTGCTAAACACGGTGTTAGAATAAGTCAAAAACACAAAAAAGTAGATAGGTGTTTTTAAACTGAAACTGTTTTAAATAGATTTGTTCACGAACATTTATTTTTTAAAATGATAAAAATTTAAATACAATTAATTGAATATATTTATGTTGCGATGAATGACAATTTTGACAGATCATATTGTAGCTTTTAGACAAAAAAAATCTTTCTCACAATTTAATGCCGTACACCTGCGAAAGAAAAAACCCAATAGTAGCGTTTCTTAAAAATGTAGTGGTAAATCTTAATGTTTTTCTCTATGAGTAGGTGTGTGCGGAAAAGTAAAAACTCATTCAACATCAATCGGTGATAGCACAAACTCTGAAAATTTGGTTTCCATCAGCTCCAAATATTCCAAAAATGACCTCGTTGCATCAATTGTTGATTCCGGTGAGAATTTCTCCATACAAAAGTGTCATTTCTCAGCAGCGACATTCATCTAATTTCTCTGGGTCTCCTATTTTAAATTTCATCATTAAATAATACACATTGATATATAAATTGCCATAAATGTGCAATAAATATATGCCATATCAAATTCAATTAGTGAAAACATTCAGATACATATCGTTGTTTTGATTTTACTCCAAAGTCGGAAGATTTGTCAATTTATTTCTAAAAAGAATATCATCAATTGGAACATTTAACATTTATACGTTTAAAAAAATACTATACTTTTTTTTTGTTTACGTCACAATGCTACAATCACGACACATTTGAGGAATATTTATACCACTATCACTATTGTATGCAAATATCAATTATTTTTTTGGGAAATTACGCATATTCGTATCTGACACACTGTGTGCATCCTATCACGATAGATTCTCTTTTATCTTTGCTTCTAACTAATACATTGTTAATACATGCTATAAACTAAGAGTAATAGTAATATTGTGTTTTGTGTATATATGTGTAAAAAAATAGAGTTAATCATCATGGATCGAATTATCGATAGTCCTGTGTGTCCTAAGTTCAATATTCATTCTGTCATTTCGATTGCCAAGTTCATTTTTCATTTGGTGGTTATGTTAGAGATTCGTTGATGTGACCGTGTGTGTACCGTGAACAAGGATTGTTGGCGGCAGATCAACCGTCAGTTCGGTCAATAGCTCCAAATAATGACGGCTGGATTCCTGCCAGTTTGATGAATTAATGTTCGGCGGTGATGCTAAATAGATGAACGTACAAGCAGACTGATTCGATTGATCCTGAATGATTTTGTTAACTCTGTGCAAAAAAAAAAAAACAGCAATTATTGAAAATGTATCATCGAAACAAAATGTCATCTTTTTACCCTTGCATATACAGTTTCGATCGATTTATGTCCTCATCAGAGATGTCAATTCCATCGTTATCGCCATTGTTTGTGAACAATTTCAGAATGTTTCCGTTTTGTGCGAATTCCTCATTTTGGTACCATTCAGGTATCTGATGGATTGACGCCGATATACGCAATTCCTTGAGTAGTTGCCGTAGTTTAAATTCAGCCGGTCGATCAAACGATGACGCCGATGAATTAACACTGAAATTGCTTTTTTTTAGATTAAACGATACGAGAAATGGACGATACAAGACATAAGATATATAAGATACAATGACTGTTTACACATCACCATAAAAATCTATATATAGTCTCTTACCTTTGTCGACTGGAATTGTTTGATTCACACAAGAAAACGCGCAATTGTAAGCTTTTCCATTTTGGCAACATGTTGATGATACATGCCAGTTGAAGCATGAATAGAGAAACGACATCGAACGGATTATTATTGGTCGGATCAAATACGTTAATGGGCCAGACGTCAATGTATAAAATATGATTGCTCTTTGCAATTAAATGTTTGTCCAAACGATGAAAATGACGACACAAACAAATATTCTTTTTCATACGCAATACATCACAAATTATCGCCACATATTCCTCCGGTGTCAAGTGATCTCGCACTCCATTTGGCCTAATTGGGAACGTTATCTCATTGTTTGTATTGAATTTTTCCGTTTTATACAAAGAACTCTCGCTGCAAATAAAATGTTCAAGGAAATATGAAATTACAACAGTTTTGAATATGGAAAAATGTGTTGCCTCTTACTTCATAAAGAAATCGGTTAAATTTTCCTCGTCATAAAAGCCTAAAATGATGGTATTCGGTTTCATGGCGCCCATTCCAGAGCATCGAATTAAATGTTGTATGCCTTCTCGTATTGTGCGTGCCATTGTAACTTCAGCAAATGCCTTCACTCGCATGTGATCGATCAATGATAGCCACTTTCCGTATTCTTCAATGACTGGATCCTCATTTGACTTATATTCACCAAATTCACCGACTTTCACGTGGCCCAACACATACAGTCCGCCTTTTTTCATATCGTTCACAAAATCAATCAGCGGACATGCGGTACGTGGGCTCGATAAGAGAAGGAGCATTTGAGGTCGCCAAAATTTGACATGATCCTTACGTGAGTCTAACATCAACAGATATTTTCGAACCTGATGGAACATTAGCGCTTGCGATATTGAACCAGAGTCAGTTTTTTGTGATATCGGCGAAAAGATGTGTAGGAAAATGATTAGAATCAAACATAATATGATTGAGATGGAAGCATAAATGAAATTGATAATAAACATCATTGTAAGCGTTCCAATTAAACCGATAAGACATGTATGCCATGTAAAATATTTGAAGGTGGGACGGAAATTTGGTGCACCGGTCAATTCAATTCCCAAACATGCCAAATTCGTTGCCATATATGATAATAAAAACAGGACTGAATTAATTTGTGCGATTAAATTCAATGAACCAATCAATAATATGCCTTCGACAAGTATCCAACTAATCAGCACCGCTGCAATGGGATTATTTTTGTAAGTACCGCGCGATACAAAATCCAAAATTCTTCCATACACTCTATCCCTTGCCATTGCTTCAAGTACCCGACTCGAACCAATCAAATTTGATAATGCCGTTGAAAATGTCGCCATTAAAATACCAATCGCAACAAAAATCGGCCATAGATTGACGGGCATCAAAAATAGATAGTTATTTCTTAGCAATTCACTTGTCGATGTTGCTGCAATGAATAATGATAGCAGCACATAACAGGTAAATGTGAATGCAACCGCTGACATTGTACCAACTGGGATGCTTCGACTTGGACTTTTCAATTCACCGCTCATATTTGCACCGGCCATTATGCCAGTCACACCAGAGAATAAAACACCAAACACAATGGCAAATGTTACATATCTACCGCCAGCCGAATAATCTTGACCATATTGTGGATAAAGATTGGCCTGTAAGGTATCCATACTAAGTCCGGTGTATGTATAATTTACTAGATGTGTTGCATTTTGAACGAGTGTATTGTCACTTGGTACGGGGACCTATATAAAGGCAATGTTCTCATTAGTTTTGTTTATTATTTTTTTTAATTTGAGAGTTAATATTTGTACCTGAAGTTCGCCTCTTGTCAAAAACGAAACAAATGTTGAAATCAAACAAACAATCACAATTCCCAGAATGAGTACATTTGTTTTTGCAAACAACGATGCACCGACCAAACAAACAAGCAACATTAATGTGTTCACAAGTGTACAGTAGAGAAAACGCCACCATGGCCCGTTATTTATAAGTCCATGTTCGCCGCCATAGTAGCCGCCAGGTCCCAGATTGTCGACGATACCTTCGGTACAGCCAGTAATCGCTAAAGCACTTCCGACAACGTTTGCGAAAAAAAATAGCGTTCCGATGGCTCCACCAAATTCAGGGCCCAAAGTTCGACTTATCATGACTGAAAATGACATTTTTTTAAACATCTAATATTTATCAAGAAAAAAATATTTTTTTTTTTGTATTCAAACTACGAATATTTTACGCTAAACTAAAACATACAAAATGTGATTCACTTTTTAAAAAACGAAAAGAGCGATAAAATTCTATATTTTTTTGTGTACTTACAATAGACACCGCCTCCTTCGACCGCTCCATTCGTTGAAATCGCACACACTGAAGAGACTGTAAACAACAGTATCGCGTATGCGATTACAAATTGAAGCAATACCACATATAGACCAGCATTTCCAACAAGAAAACCTGAAATCATTACACAACATGTTTATATTTCATTTTGATAAACAAATACATTATTATTTCATGTAAATAATGGTGATTCATATATTTATACTACGATTGAATCGAAATGATGATTTTTTTTTCTAAATATTTAATCTTCGATGAATAACGCTTTTTTGGCGAATTTTTTTGAAGAAAATGATTTCTTCAATGAAAAGGTAGAAATTGTGTATTTCGGAAGATAAAAAAAAATCACTTACCAACTCGAATGAATAGCAAAGCGCTGAACATGGAAAGTGCGACGGGGCTAAAAACACCAGCAAATGTTCCCAATGTTCTGCCAGTTCGTTCTGTATCCGAAATACCGAATTCCACGTATCCATCATTTGTTGAGTTGGAACTTGTTGAATGATTATTTCCAACTAATGCACCAAATCGACGAAAGATTCGCATGCCTGCTATTGGTGACCGTTCGCTCTCCGCAGTAATAATATTCGGATTAATAGCATCCGTTGAGTTTGACGTTGAAAACATTTTCACGTGTATACTTTCACAACGATTATACGAATATATATTGCACTGAAATTATACATCATTTATTTATTTATTATCTAGATTACACATTACAAGCTAATCACATGAAATAAAAGTTAACACATCAATATATTGAAAATTAAAACTTAAATTCGTGCATAGCAACAAAGTGAAATTGTGATGAACTATATGGTTTCGTTGATGTGTAATCTCTTAGTCGTATCCATTACACCCACTGATGTTAATGGAATGAAGTCATATTAAAACTTGTTTGTTGCGGTCATCACTCGATAACAGCTGATAATAAAATGCAATACTCAATGAATGAAATCAACAAAAAATGAAACTGTTTAAATTAAAATTTTATTGAATAACCGATGAAATTATGAGTGACGTGAAAGTGATGCGTTGGAAGACACTTTTGGAAGATTTCAAGATGCTTGTGTGATGAATTCACTTTATTTACACTACCCTATTTAATACGATGTGAAACTTAACGCTAATACGTCAACCAATAAAAAAAAAAATAAAAAGACTTACTCTGTGTGCACACAAATTCTATTGTTATACACAAATCAACAAAACTAGATGAATGACATTTTTAACAATTGTAATTATTTTCCGACTTGAATTCTATTGAAGTTTTCAATGTCGTCAATTCGTATATCAACAATAAATTTTTCGTGTGTGTCGTTTTTACCAACAAAAACTATTCTGAAAATAGAGTCAAATGTTTACGGTAGAATTGATGTAGGATGCATACGTATCAATGTTTTTGTAAATGAAAACAGCGTTCAAATGTCAATGTCATTGAAAGAACTGTCAATAGAACATCATATGTCTACACATGTATACTCTACACACGCAAATTTCAAAATCATTCTGAACAATACGTTTAGAAAACAATTTTTAGTTTAATTTTGTTTTTGAGGAAGTCTGTCAATTTTGAATTTGAATGTTGCTAAACGTAAAAAAAAGATTTAAACTAAGCCAGATTCGTTCGAGGTTTATCATACATTTTGCGAATCGATCCAGTTCAATGTAGTAGACTTCTTTACTCAGGTATCTATGTCCTGGCCATACATTTCGTCGTATGTCGGGACTCCAACGGGGCCATAATTCTTTGATATTGACCAAATTAGAATAATCTGAATTAGGCTGTGTACTTATTTGAGCATAGAACTTTCCAAGTCCATAAATATTCCATTCCCAGTCTGTAACATTGACTACATCTCGGGCTAACAAATTTATTTTTTTGTAGAAGCCACGTTCGTAGAGTTGATTTATTAAACTGGTCGGTATTTCATTCTTCTGGCTGTACTCTTTAATGGTGAGCTCATCGAGCTGAATATTTGTTTCCATCAATGATTCGACGCATTCTTCGAGATAACTCATACCAACTGTGAGTTTTCGAATATTTGGATTCTTTTCAAGAAACTGCAACACCAGGTCCATTGGTTCATAGTTTCTCCTTGGCATCCGAATCAATTGCAAATGCACAAGCATTGGATACGTTTGATGCAGCCATTTCCAATTTATTGAAAACAGTGTATTGTCAATGAATAATATCTTTAAATTCGGGCAATGTTTCAGCAAACATTCATGCAAATCGTCCACAGCAGTACAAGACGATATGCGCAGTTCTTCAACACTATTCAATGCGGTACGAATGTTATCCAAAGCACATGCAGTCAAAGTACAACGTTCAAATTTGATGCGTTTAAGTGATTGATTACACTGTGCGTTGATATACTGATATTGCTCGTCTCGGTTCTTATTGATAGAATTCCGTTCACATTCCTTACAGATAGTAATAGTTATATTTTTGGAATATTTTTCGAAACCATCAAATTTCTGTAATACTGAACATAATTCGCAAAACTGAACGGATTGTGTCGGATAATTTTGTTGAAAGTGACAGCCAGCAAGTTTTTGTAATTTTGTACATGTTTTACCAAATGAATGTAAATCGTTCACAGATAACCAATCAAATATTTCCTGAAAGCAATGTTCATTCAGTTCCAAAATAGTAGTTGAACTATTGCTATCGCCATTTTGTTTTTTGGCATGGTTCAATTTGCGTCGCTTTGGTTTTGGTGGTGCTAAATGTTTACCGGTTTCGATGCTTTGTATTGCAGCTATTCTGGTCGAACGTCGTGACATTGTTGTCGATCTGATGATAATTCAACACTGTCAATGAATCAAACGAAATCACTTTAGTACTAAGAAAAAAATGGAGGAAAAAATCCAGTGAAAAATTGCTAATTACCGTTAAAAATGATGCCCAATTTGACGCGTCGATTTTTAATACATGTAATTTGTATTGTTGCTCATCCAATAGTATGCGAAGGTGGTTGGAATTGAACTAATGTATTTCACAAGTATATTTTGAAAATGGTTTTGTTTTAAATTCACCGGCTATTGAAAATGTTTACCAGTCGAGTCAAATATCAACCATTTGATCCACAGTGTTACTAATGACTATACAGCGTACAGGTATATCTTTATGAACTAAGCATACACTGTAACGAACATTACTAACACAATCAACGATTATCCTATCTGTGAAATTCTTGTTAATGTTCAACTAAGCGATATACCTGCTAAAGAAGTCAAATGAAAATGTTACAAAATGTTAGGTACAAAATAAAAAAAATAATTTAAATCCTCTATGTACTTTTAACATGTGAATATTTTACGGCATTTTTATCACTTTTTCACGTCAAAAGTTAAACTATGTCATTTTGAGACAAGCCGGTAAAATGAATTTTTTAATATGAAAAAATAACTACTTTGAGAAAAAAAATTGTGTCTGCGAATTGTAGATAGTTTAATTTGACTATTGAACAGAAATATTGAAAATATGAAGAAAACCAAACAGACGCTGCGAATAGCTAGCGCTATTCAGATAGTAAAAAACCATCACTGTGTATGACCAACTATAGCTAATTTTTTGCGCATATTTCATTTTTGCTATTGGGCAATCCCTCCCATGGTGTCTCCATACAAAATTTATGAAAATTTCAATGGGGATTTTGGTATTAATCCTCCACTAGGATGTGATGTTTAACCATTGTTTGAAAGAAATGTTTGAATGGTTGTCTATAAGCGATTTACATTGCTGAGCATTCAAATATTTCGTTGAATCATTGTCCATTCAGATCCGAAATAGATATTGATCGATTATAACAATTTGGAAATCTTTAACAATCGAGTCAAATATCAAGCAGTAGATTCACAATGTGAATCATGGGCACTGGGGGAGGGATTTCGGTATTTACCACCTGGACGTGTAAATGATTAACCAAATGACCATTGCTTCGACGAAATATTTGAATGGTTATCTAAGAGCGATTTACATTGCTGAGCATTCGAATATTTCCTCAAAACAATCATTTTTCAGTCATTCAAGTCCAAAATCGATCGATTATAACAATATCGTTTTATTAGCGTCGCCTTCGTTTTGTATCTAGTTTTGTTCTGGCCGCACTGTCGTTGTTCTGATGATAATTCAACACTGCCAAAATTCAATATATATATAAATCACTTTTGTACTAAGACAAAATGGAAAAAATCCAAAGAAATTCGAGTAATTACCGTTCTTGATGCTCAATAAGTTTTACTTTTGTCATAAATTGTGCAGCAATAGTGATAACTTCTAATAGAAGGTGGTTGGAATTGAATTCATGTATTTCACGAATATATTTTGAAAATGTTTTGATGAATTAAAAATCAGTTTTTGGTAATATTTAATAATCGACCAACAGATTCACCGTGTATCCATACACGTATACCTATATGCATGACAGTTCTCCACAATAAACGAACCATACACTGTAACAAACATCACTAACACAATCAACGACTATCCTATCCGTGAAATTCTTATCCCAATGGAAATGTATTGGAACAACTGTCAATGTCAATGTAAATGCAACACAGAATATACCTGCATTAAGTTTTCTTTAAACAAATTCATTCTAAAACAATTAAAATCATACAAAAAAACTTGTTAGTTTATATTTTTAAGTAAAAAGTTGGTTCAAACAAAAAAATAGGTTCGATAAACCGAAAAATTATGTTCAAAAGCTAATTTTTCACTTTCTTTTTTTCTTTTTACCTCGTCCAAATGAAATAACCTCAATTTTTCCATAAACGTTTACAAACCAAACACAAACAAATTTATTTTTCTCTAATTTTAGATTGGTTAATAATTTGAAAGTTTGCAATGGGAAATGAGCGAAAGCGACGTTCTCGTTCAAGGGAGCGACGATCCAGATCACGGTCTCCAAGAGATCGAAACCGACGTTCAAGATCGAAAGAAAAGTTGCGCGAAAAGGATTATCGCCGTAGATCTCGTTCAAAGGAAGGCGACCGAGCCAGAGATAAAGATGCTGTTTCGTCAAAAGATAGATATGGTGCTGAGCGCATAAAATCGGAATCCAGTTCAAAAGGAAAACATGAAGAGGATAGAAAACCGATAAAATTCAGCATGGATACAAAACCGAAATTGAAGGTCAAAGGCGAAGACGAAGAAGAAAATGTTGACGAAAAGCCAAAGGAAGGCAAGAAAGCCGAACCACTTTCGTTGGAAGAACTTTTGGAAAAGAAGAAAGCCGAAGAGGCGGCTCGAAGTAAGCCGGTGTTTATTACAAAGGAGCAACGTGCAGCCGAGGCACTCAAACGGCGCCAAGAAGAAGTTGCAGCGATGCGTGCTGCACAATCGGCTGTTACCCGATTCGGCGACGTTCCGGTCACACAAATATTGAATAAAGAGCGACGTGAAAAAGACCGTGACGATAAGGATAGACGCGATAGAGACAGGTATACGTAATGTAACTTTGCATTAATCAGAAAGAAATGTGTATAAACTTTTGTTGTTTTTATTCAATATATAGAGAGCGAGAAAGAGAACGTAGACACCGTGAAAAGGACCGAGGCGATGACAAAGAAGATCAATCGCGACAACGTCTGGATGATCCGAGCAAAGACAAAGAGAAAGAGGCCGAGGCCATTCGTGAACGGTATTTGGGGTATGTTAGGAAGAAGCGTCGTGTACGTCGTATAAATGATCGCAAATTTGTTTTTGATTGGGACACAAATGAAGATACATCGAATGATTACAACTTACTTTATAAAGATAGACATCATGTTCAATTCTTTGGTCGTGGCAATATTGCTGGTATCGATATTAAGGAACAGGTGAGTTTTGTTATTCAACTATATTAGTTTGCTTCATCGACTAATCAATTCGAATCGATTCCAATTTAATAAAATTCCATAGCGAAAGCAACAATCACATTTCTATGGTGATTTACTGGAAAAGCGACGTACCGAAGCTGAAAAAGAACAAGAAAAGGTTCGTTTGAAGAAAGTAAAGCGAAAGGAAGATAAACAAAAATGGGATGATCGTCACTGGTCCGAAAAGGAGGTGGATGAAATGACAGAACGTGATTGGCGTATTTTCCGTGAAGATTACAATATTACGATTAAAGGTGGAAAAATTCCAAATCCAATACGAAACTGGACGGAATCCGGGTTTCCAAAAGACATTTTGGATATCATTGAAAAGGTCGGATACAAAGAACCAACACCCATTCAACGTCAAGCCATTTCAATTGGATTACAAAATCGCGATATTATTGGCGTTGCTGAAACTGGTATGAATTCATTCTCTATTACTTTTATTGTATACAAAATAGATAGTAATACATTCGTTACACACTTTCTCTTATGACCCAAATGAAATCGATTAACTTTCACAGGTTCTGGAAAAACTTTGGCATTCTTAATCCCATTGTTGTCATGGATTCAATCTCTACCGAAAATCGAGCGTTTGGAAGATGCCGATCAAGGTCCATATGCTATTATTTTGGCACCCACTCGTGAATTGGCCCAGCAAATTGAAGAAGAGACAAATAAATTCGGTGAACCGCTCGGAATAAGGTGAGTTTTATTTCAAATTTTTCCATTCATTTATTTTGCAATTTAACCAAACATCCCGATTCCACTTTCATTCCAGAACTGTTGTCGTTGTCGGTGGTTTGTCACGTGAAGATCAAGGTTTTAAATTGCGTATGGGATGTGAAATTGTAATTGCAACGCCGGGTCGTTTGATTGATGTGCTTGAGAATCGCTATTTGGTATTGAATCAGTGTACGTATATTGTTCTCGATGAAGCTGACAGAATGATTGACATGGGTTTCGAACCTGATGTACAGAAGATTTTGGACTTTATGCCGGTCTCCAATTTGAAACCGGACACTGACGATGCCGAAGATGAAAATGTATGTCTTAAGATATAAAAACTTAAAAATTACTATTCCATTTGCTTATTGATTAATTTCCATTATTTTCTATGTGATTATAATCTATAGGTATTGATGCAAAATTTCTACTCGAAAAAGAAGTATCGACAAACTGTCATGTTCACGGCCACGATGCCTCCGCCTGTAGAGCGCTTAGCGCGAACCTATTTACGAAGACCGGCCACCGTATACATTGGTTCAATCGGTAAACCAACCGAACGTACAGAACAAATAGCATACATGATGGGAGAGAATGACAAGCGCAAGAAATTGGTTGAAATTCTTAATAGAGGTTTCGACGCTCCGATTATGATTTTCGTCAATCAAAAGAAGGGAGCCGATGTTTTGGCAAAAGGATTGGAAAAAATGGGCCACAGCACGTGTACGTTGCATGGTGGAAAAGGACAAGAACAGCGTGAATATGCTTTGGCTGCACTTAAAAGTGAGTATACTTTTTTATCGTAACGTGTTCAATAAAAAAAATAAAAATATTTTTTTCCAGGTGGTGCTAAGGACATTTTGGTTGCTACAAATGTTGCTGGAAGAGGTACGGTTAAAAAAACGAAGCTTCATTTAGAATTGTCAACTGATTCAATTTTTTTTTTTTGTATTTCAGGTATCGATATCAAAGACGTTTCAATGGTCATCAATTACGACATGGCAAAAACAATCGAAGAATACACACATCGTATCGGTCGTACTGGACGTGCCGGAAAAACTGGTGTCGCCATTTCATTCCTTACCAAAGATGATAGCCCAATATTTTATGATTTGAAACAATGTATTCTCAGCAGTCCAGTTAGTACTTGCTCACCCGAGTTGGCCAATCATCCAGAAGCCATGCATAAACCGGGCACAGTCGTTACTAAAAAGAGAAGAGAAGAGAAAATTTTCGCTTAATTTGCACAACACTAAATGATTTTCTTTTATTTTTTTGATCATTATCATTTGATTCTATTCGCAGAAAATCATATATATAATAAACCTGAATTGAAATTGTGAAAATTCAACAGAGTGACTTTTTTCATTTTATTCAACATTATAATTTCTTTTCAAAAAATAGATTGACTGCGTAATCTAACCCGGCTTTCATATCTTTTCGATTTTCAATTTTGGACGATGGCATGAAATCCGGCTATTAATGTATGAATTTATAATAATAAATGTATAGTTTATGGCCTAAAAGTACGTCATAGATCCGAAACTTTTTTTTTCTCGATTGAATTTCACAGTTATGTTATCAATGTAGAATATCAATTATTTTGATTAAATTGACGAATAAATGTATTTGATTCATATCTAAATTGGAAAAAATCATCATAGATTTAAAGAAATTGGTAATCAACTAATTCGATGTACGCCAAAATATCCGAACACAAACGAAAACTGATTGATAGAAGTGAAAAAAAAAATATTTCGATGTTCAAAGCATATTGTGCATACGAAATGATCACCAATTTTGGATTTTGATTTAATTTTTTTCCGGTGCGCGCATTAAACATTGTTATGTAGATATAGTACAATGAATGGGAACACACCGTGTGCGAGGTATTTTGCGAAAACCATATCATTGTCACTGTTGATTGAAGTAGTGTGTTTGAATCACCTACTTTAATTAAAATACATCACATTGTCTATGCTATTACCGAAAAAATCATCATATTCACGTCACTAATTCACATATTTTATGCGATAGTCGTGCTTCTCTTTTTTCATTATTTCTAGCACAACCAAAACAATGCACACGATCTATAGGAAAACAACGGGCCAAATGCGCTAGCCGATCCGGTAGCACAAAGCCAAAAATGAAGAAATGTTTTTTTTTTTCGTCGTTCGAATATATTGGAATTTCATTTCACTTACGAGTTCAACGTAGAGGGAATATCAAGCAAAAGAATACAATTGCAACAACAAATGAATGTGTGGTCATGTGTGGAACGGTAAGTGCGTTGAGTACTGGCATGTGACACAATTGGTTGGTCGATTGTCTGGGAGCAGTAGTATAAAATAAATTGTCTTTTCAACTGACGATATCATTCATTTGTTATTCAGTCAACTGATCGCATCGGATCGGAATACCGTACACATCGAACTGTTTAGTTATTTTTTATTTGTTTTTTTGAATCAATTGGAAAAGAAAAGAAAAACTCATTTTTTTCGTTCAAAATGATGAATAAAAGTGTATCGAATATCTGTAAAATTGCTGCTTTGTTGTGCATTGTGCAAAGCGCTATTGCCGGCGTTGTGGATAATTCAGTGTATAGCGGACGTGCTCAAATCAACAGTGGAAATGAATTGGTCTCAACAATTCTAAACAATTGCTACGACATGGGTTGTATGAAAAGTAATGTGTTGACTTATTTGAATACAATTTTGGGTGTTGAAGACAGATCAGCTCGTTCAATGGCATCATCAGTTGACGAACAAATCTTCGATCGTGTTGCAAAATACTTGAAAACCAACGAACTCCATTTTGAATTGCCCGAAACATTTTTCCGTAAATCGGAAATCACTTTCCGTGCCGATCGTGGCTTCGATGTGAAAGTATCCGAAGAAGCAGCCACCGAAGGTACAGCAAAACAAATTTAAAAATCTAGTGTGATTTATTTCAAATTCGTTTCGCGCAAATATTTGGTTTTGTTGTTGTTTCTTTCAAATCAACTAAAACTAATAACAAAAAAAAAAATCCAGCGTATGTGTAAAATCAAAAATGAATAATATTTGTGTGAACGAATTTTTCGTTTTGAATGATAATCAATTTAAGCCAAACAAATCTATTATTAATCTATCAAAAAATTATTCACAGCTCGTAAACACAAAGATGACGATTTGAAGAAGAAACTTTTGTTGCCAGCACTTTTGCTTTTGAAATTGAAATTGAAAGCCATTCTTCCATTGTTTGTTGGCATCATCGGAATAAAAGCTGTGAAAGCATTGATCATCTCAAAATTGGCCTTGTCTTTGGTTGTTGGATTCATCGCTTATAATTTGTTCAAGAAACCAGCTGCACCGGCCGCACCAGTTGACACATCCACCGCTGCACCGTCGTCATACGACCCAAATAGCTGGGAACCAAGTGCCACCAGCGGCGGTCCGTATGCACGCATCTGGGACCCATCAGCACAAAACTTGGCCTACAGTGCCTACTACTCGGGCAGCTCAGCCGTTGCCAACAGTGGTAGCTCATCATCAGCCACAGCCACTTCAAAACCATCCTCATACTCAACCATCTAAGTTGAATGTTTCCGCTTAATTTATTTGTTTGTATAAAAAATGCATTGTACATTTTAAAGAAAGAAGAAAGAAAAAAAACAATTCTATTTATTTCTTAGCAATAAGAGATACGAAGCAAAGAATTATGTAACTTATTCAAATGAAATTATTTATTTATCAAATCATAAATTATTACAAATAAAGCGTGAAAAATTAAACAACAACAATCTGCCTTATTTTGTCATAACAAAAATATCAATCATTCATTTTCCGATAAAACTGTGCACAAACTTTCCTACGCAAATGTACCTTCCAATAATCTTTTTTATACTTTCTGTTTTTTCGAAAAACCGGAAAAACTTTGATATTTGAATCAAAAAAAAATTGCAGCTTAATTTCGTTTGGACCATAGATAGGTGGTCAACATAATTTCAAATTTTTATGGGGAAGCAATTCAATTGTTCAAAAATCATCAATACAAAAATATACTTTATTGCTTGTTAACAGTGTTGCTTTAGTACCTGAAGACATAAAGAGAAGTTGGCAATTTTCCAAAATGCAAATGACAGGTTGAATTCATTACAGACGTTGACTATTTAAATTTAAATCACGATAATTCAATTTTATGATAGAATTTATTTCCGTTAATTGTGTCGTTTTAGTTGCAAGCACGTATGACACCAACGAATAACTGTCCCAACTCACGTGGCATTTAAATGAGACCAGTACTTGCGACGTATACATAGAAAGTGTTTCACTTTCATTTCGATTTTCATTTTGATTTCTAATTTCTACCAAGATGCTACTCATGATGAATTTTAATCAATTTATTGAAGTCCCATTTTTTTAATTATAAATTGAGTGCCGGATTTTTTGGAAACGATTTCAAAACTCAATGATGTCTGTAGTAGAAATGGGCACTGATTTCATCTGTTAAAAACATTGCTAGGATTCAACATAAATAAAGGCTTTTTCAGACAAAAACATTGCGCGAGTCACTTTCGCAGAATATGTGGCTGAAGTATCAATAACACAAGTCGAGCTTGAGAGCCTCGTTGTTGATACTAATAGAATCTATATCGTACCAAAATATGCATACAATTTAGTTTGGATCATTTGGTTTATTAAATGAGAGAAAATCCTCTGCAACTTTCATTGAAAACAAAAGAAAAATACTTGCATCCAAACGTCTCTTGTTATTTATTTTAACAGATTTTTAAGTGTAAAAGAAACAAAAAGTATCAAATTTTATGCATTTTTTGCACAGAAATTCCTTTAATTCTTGATTAATAAGATTTTTCGAGCATATTGTATTTGATCAATACAAAATCAGAAAAAATGACTAAATATTAAAAAAATGAAAAAAATCATTCGGTTCATTTCATGCTTTTGATGCAATTGTTCTCTTTATTCTGCCCTCGTTTCAATAAATTAAAATAAATACAATAAATTATGTGTTTAATTTTCTTGTTGGGGTTTCAAATCGATGCTTAACATTTAAGCACGTTCATAATTTACAAGTAGGCATTGTACGCAATATCTTGGGCTGGTTCGTTTACTTCTTGAGCAAAGTTGCGGGTGTAAACATCTGGAGCAGCGATGGTGGTTGGATGTTGGTCAGAGAGCTGATAAAAAACAGAAAATTGATCAATTCAAATGTATTTGAAATTAAAAATTGTTTTTCATATCAAATGGAAGCTCTAAAATGCCTTACCTTTCTGCAGAGTTGGAAAACAGCCAAACCGACCGAGATGACAAATGAGAAGAATGATAATTGAAGTGCGTTGAATGCCTTAATTCCCAAGATGCCAAGACCCAATGGAACAAGTGTGATGACTTTCAAAAGGATGAAAGTCAAAATTGGAATGGCGACCTTCTTCAATTTCGATTTACGCGATTCAACTGGAGCATTGTTGAATTTAACTTTGAAGTCAACTTCATCATTTTCCAAGTTACGTGCTGAAATGGTGATTTTGCTATCGGCAACTGGCAAATCCAATGAAACATCGTTGCGTTGAACGTAGTTTGTGAGTGCGTCTAAAATGTCTGAAGTTGAACGGGCCTCTCCAACTCTCTATTGGAAATTAAAACGATAGAAAAAATCCAAATTATTCAAAATTCTTGTCAATTTTTTCAATTTTACAAAAAAGGTCAACAAAGCTCACCGGACTAGCGAATGCACTGCAGGCCAAAACAGCGAATATAGCTGAAGCAAGGATAACTGATCGGGAAATCATTTTGATAAAAAAAAGAATTGAAGTGAATTTCACTGGTTGCGATGTGGCTTTGCCAGAAGTAAACTAGGCTCTGATGTTAATTGATTATCGTGCTCCGGCTTTTATACGATTAATTAGCTATTCAATTAAGACAATAAAGTGTGGGGCGTAAGCTTTATCAAACTGACATACGTCACAATATTTCGAACCAAATAAAGTGCAAAACAAACCAATTGTTAAAAACATAAGCAACACCTCAGTTGTACGGCCAAAGCATATACAAGTATTCATACTTTTACCAGGTAACACAATAAAAAAAAGAAAATTGAGAATTGCCAAGACGCATAGACATAAGCTGAAGAAAAGAAACGGAACAACGACACGCCGGACACCAAATTGGTTTTGCATTTTGAGTAACATATTACCACGATAAAAAAAACTGCGTAAAACAATACCACGACATTGTATGCTCATGTCAATAACTAAATAATTTAGTCGCGTGTATAATTTTTGGTGAGTTTTTAGAATTGGTCTCACGTTGTCGATTATCGACCCAGCTAATGCAGCATTTAAATGTTTTTTTATTGTTCGATTTATGTCAAATTTTTGCTATAGTACCCAGTTTACCATTTTCACTGGGTGCGCGAAATGTACATGAAACGAATGTTCAAATTAATCGATTATGTGAGAATATTTGTTATTGGTCGCATTCTTTCCACTTGTGCACTTAGAAATCCGTTCGCATTTCCGTTAGTTTTGATGGATAACATACAAAGTAAGTTGCGATATCTTCATTATATGAATTTTCATTTAAAAAAAAAAAACATTTGAATTCTTCGTGTTATGTGAAATCAATTTTTGTGACGCACATTCATTATTTTTTAACAACATTCAAATTCGAGTGAAAATGAAACTTTTTGCAGTTCAAACAGAAATAGACACATATACATCACTTGTTGCATATAATATAAATCAGTTGGATATTAGAGAAACTATATCCTACATTTTACACATTCTCAACCGAAATGTGTTAATGGAACAAATTCTTTCATAAAATATTCGTCACCAAAGTTTATATTTGGACTTCCCTTGTTACTAATGGAATAAATCGATGACAGAATGAAACAGACACATAGTACTAGAAATATTCTCCGACTATCTTAACTTAAATAATCTGCATTTGCACCTTTTTTAATTAAACAAATTTGTTGATTTTTTTCAAATATTTCTTTTTTATTTGTCGATTTTTTTTAAATAATTATTTGAATGGTATGATCTGTATACAAACTTTCCGTTTTTATGTTTGGATTTGGGTTATTCAGCAAATCGCTTTTTTAATTGAAAAAAATCACTTAAAGTTGTTTACAATTCTATATTATCGAATCGATAACGAAAGAAAATGTCATTTGCACGCTTTGGAATTTACTTTGATTAAAGTTTATTATCAAACATGCAAAATATTCCAAGATTTGGAAATATTTTCGTCTAAAAATGACAGCAAAAAAAAAATCAAATCAAATTGAACCCAAAACAACTTCCACTGAAAAAGCATGTGCCCTCCAGAGTGTTTGCTATTAAAACCTATCAGAAAGCACTAGTAGGTTTTCACACTACGAATAGTAATTATCAAAAATGCTCATAATTATCAGAAATGATGTTTCCCTTTGTTTTACCAGCATCTGATTATTATATTTTATAAAAAAATATAATGTTCTTCATGCTCAAGCTGAAACACAATTTTTCAGTTTCAATGGTACAACGATGTTATCATACAAGTAATATTCTCAAACTGTGCAAAATAATTTAACTCAAATCATAGTTCAATAATCTGCTGTAGAAACTATTGATTCATCTATAAACATCAAGTCTATCTACACTCATGCTGTGAAAATGATGAGGATATTTCCCAGGCACGTACATTTTTATTAACCATTCTATATAATTGGATAACAATAGAGGATTGTATAGCAACAATGTTATGTTTTTAATTCTCCTATTATTATGCTGTTTCATTGAGAATTCTTCATTTCAGTGCAATAATCTCAGCGATCATCTCAATGAAACTGAAAGTACGATGATATTACAAAAGTGGTTCAACTATTGAATTTGTTTGCAATTTTGTGATGAAGTTACCAAAAAAATGTGGCCACTTACATTATCCATGGAAAAATTTGGTTACAAAAGATCGTTAACTACTTTCATTGATAAAAATCGACTAATTGTAAATTCAGTTGGAATATTAAAATAATTTCACTTTAAATGACTAAAAATTTATGATTCTATGGTCACGAATTTGTTTTTAGTAAATAATTTCAAAATTCATCAATGAACGACGATCATGTAAAACCAAGTACAATGGTCTAATGCAGAAAAAAATGCATTAAAATGCTAAATTAGACGAGAAAAAAAATATTTTAATGACTTTCACGCAAACAAGGAGTAGAATTGAGCTAAACATTTGTATCATCCGTCGATAATAAAATCAAATCACGTTCCAACCCAATTTTTCTTTCTTTCCATCCGGTTTGTGTCTTACAAACTGCGTCTTACTCAATGAAATTGAACGCACTTGTGTAAACAAGAAGCATAAACCATTTTTGTGCTCGCACGCACCAGACTTCTCCTACTCTATTAAAGGTATGTTTACGGTCGCATCGGCTGGGTGTCATCGACTAGACAAAATTAAAATTCGAAAACCATAATCGAAAATTACTTCGTCCAATTAAAGTGGTTGATATAAAAACAAATGAATTGAATGGATTTTATGACAGTCGTTGCTTAACACTCGAATAGAATAGTGGCTTCAATTAAATTTCAAGTGTTCAAGTGATTTCGGTTTTGTTTCGTTTTATCACTTGCATTCAATATGAAGGTTACAAATTTCATTCAATTGAGCGTCGTTGTTTTGTGTTTGGTGCACAGTTCACGCGGTCAAGATACATTGTTGGATACATTCAACGATATTTACTCAACATGTTTGGTGAATTTGAATACGGATTGCATTCAACCAAAAGCATTGGAATGGTTCAACAAAGTGATTGAAAAACGTGAAATTCACATCACCAACGATTTGAGCATCTTGAAAAATGATTCGGTTAGCGTTGCTGATGAGCCAGAAACACAAGAAGAAGGTGCACGCAGCAATGAAGTCAATTTGGTCAGCAAAGTTGATCAATTTTTGTCAACACATTACCTCAATATCCGTTATCCAAAGGCAGTCATCAATGAAAATGTGCCATCATTCATGGTGTCAACATTGAACCACATGATCCCAGACAGTTTGAACATTCCATTGGAAGAAGGAAACCCAAATGAAGGTACTTTTTCAATAAATTTCATACAATTTACAGCATTTTTATTCATTTATCATTATTCTTATAACTTAGGTCGAGGTCTCGTTAAGAAAGTTTTGATCCCATTTTTGCTCGGTTTGAAATTCAAAACAACCGTTTTGCTTCCATTGGCCTTCGCTCTTATCGCATTGAAAGCCTGGAAAGCACTCACACTCGGACTCATCTCTTTGGTCGTTTCAACCGCTGTTGTTGTCTTCAAATTAGCCAAACCAAAGGTAAAATTTTAAAAATCTATCCATTTAAAAGCTGAGAATGACACTTCTTTCGTGTGTGATGCAGGTTATCAACTATGAAGTTGTACATTATCCACACCATCACCACTATGATCACCATTTGGACCATCATTTGGATGTTCCTCATCACCATCACTTGGAACATTTAGATGTTCATCCAGTTCCACATGCTCACATCGACCATTTGGGACCACATGCTCACATTGACCATTTGGGACCACATGCTCACATTGACCATTTGGGACCACATGCTCATCTTGACGCACATTTGGCTGCACACGACATTGCCTATCCAGCTCATTTATAAGGCATTAAGTCTGTTAACCAATAATTGTAGCGTTCCAGATGCTGATCAACTCAACAAATATATTTAATATTTATTTATTTAATTTATTTGTATGAATCGAAAAATCTATTTATTAAAATCAAAATTAATTTATTTCCCATTTTGAATTGTTGCGTTTTTATTTACTTTTGATGCAAATGTTAGTCTGAGTTTTCAATTTGGAGAATTCTATGAATCACAGATAGAATGTCATGACCTATACAAGCGAGAGTTTTTTTTAAAACTAGAATATCAGACGAGTTTAAATTCTAAGCAGGTTTTCGGCGATAATCAAATGAAAACGGTTTTTGCTAACGCATCATCTATAGTTATGATGAAAAATGAATCAAACTTGCCCGAAACTCATATGCAATTAATTACATTTTCAGAAGCCCATATTTTATCCAAGGATGGTTCCTCTGGGGAGAAGGAATGGCGAGGGGGAGGAGAGCGCAGAGAAGAAACATCACAAAAAGATATTTTTGTAATAAAAAAGCCTCCTCAGCATTCCCCCTCATCAGAGTAACAATCCCTGATTTTATCAAAACCAACATTAATTATATTTGTGATTCTGGTATAAAATGAAAAATCTTCGCTTTCATTTATTTTTTATTATTTGTTATAATTATCATTATTTTATTTATCATTTTATTTATACAAATGTTACCTTCACAAAGGCAAATGTCAGGTGTCATCTAAATAATCTTATGCAAACATACTGTACTAATTTTTTGTTTGTTTGTTCATGTATTTGCGACTATTTGCAAGCAAAATGTGATCAGAGTCGATGCTTTGAATAAATTATTACTGTATTCTTGTGGATGTGTGGCCTAAGTTTTGTTTATTAGCATTTGGCTATGCTTTAAAAAGATAATTTTTTTTTAATTTGCTTTGGTCAAAAAATCCATTTACCCTTAATTAATTATAACGATTCAAGCACACATTCTTAATATATTATATTAATTCCTTTCATTCTCTCTAATCGCAAAAAAGAACAGCTATCTACACATGCACTAATATTTAGATTCTCAGTTTTTTTTAAAATTATGCAACAAAATAAATAAATAAATTAGGCTTGAATTAAACTTAGGGTTTTTGAATCAAATTCCACAATTCAAATGTGCACATATGCTTGTTACATTGTACACTTTGGGTTTAGCGATAAGCAACTCTTTTGATCTTGTCCATCTCTCGCAGCTTTTACGTATTTGTAGAATGTGAGTACAGCTGCATTCAGTGTGGCCGGTTTTTGTAATTCCGATGAATCTCTGAAAGAGTGATAGATAGAAAGAAAAAAGTTTGAATGAGTTGCATTAAAATTTCGATTGAATCAAAATAGCATCACTACAAACCTGCTCAATTCAGCCGACAAGAAATTACTGTGCGGACTAAACTGGGCTGGGCTCTTGTACATATTACACACGAGCCATTCTTTGCAATGTTCACTCACGTATGTACTGTATTGATTCAATATGCTATCAATTCGAGCGACGATCGGACCATAAAATGGATCAATTGCTATCATACTCTAAAATTAGACGGAAAAGAGTTAAAAATCTTTATTACTATATTGTCTTGACTATAAATAATAGGAATCGAATTGGAAACTGGTTTTTTTAGTCTACGGACGCAAAAATCGATGCTATTTACGACGTTAAATAATAGCGAATCATTATAATCTATGCTAATTCCATAAGTATTGAATCATCAACGATTGATGTTTTTTCACTACAAAATTGCACATCCATTCAAAAATAAACAACGTGAACAATTGGGAGCTATCAATTAACATTATCCAATTTGGATATTACGATCGCAAAATTTCCCAGTAAAAGTTAAAATCATCTCTTTTTAACCTTGACGATACATTAACGCGCTGCAAACATTTGAAATAACCTTGAATCGAATCAAAGTAATTACCACCAAATGACATAAATAAAAAGATTGTCAACGATCAATTTCAATTAAATAATTGTTTCAAAAATGTAAAAAAAGTAAAAAGTTCATATTTTTTCTAATGAAATTCAAATTGCATACCTGAGCATAAGCTGGCTGTTGATGTATTGCGTTTTGGATCTTTTCGGCTATTAAATATTTGTCGGGTGAATATTTGACTTGACTAGTTGGTTCATATGTGCTGTATATTTTCGATTGCGATCCTACTGAATCATCTACAAATGGTGCCCGACCGATTGATGTTTCTATCGTCGATCTGGGCGGCGGGAATGGGCTTAAACTAAATATTTTGTCAAAAAAATCGAAAAAATAGTTAATAAAAGCTTCTTTAAAATGTTACAAAAGAATTGATGATAAGCAATTCTTGGCTTTTGGCTTAAATTTATACGCCGTCAGTCTGTTTATACAAGCGGATTTCACCTGGATTGCGGATTGGCTGGATATGTATCTAAAGTGCTTTCGACCGGTTTTACAGCTTGCTCAAGGCCCCAACTGTTGATAGTCTCATCGTCTTCTAATTTTGGTTTGAATGTTTCCGATTTCGAGTGTGGATTCACATTTATATTCCGATGTATATCAGATATGTACCTGTTGAGTATGGCATGCATTAACAAAAGATAAATATACAATTTCTAAATGAGTAATTACTCTGAGCCAAGCCCGGGTCCGGAATGTTCCCAATCGCTTGGATAATGCTGGTGTGGTGGCGGTGGAGCTGGAAGACTATGAATGTATTCAACTGGATGACCTCTTGGCGGCGCAGTGTAAATAATTTCTGGCCGATGTTGATGTGGTGGTGGACGTTCATGTAAGTCTTTGTACCATGCTGGTACAACCTGTATGTCAAATGTTACGTCAATTTCATCGATTAATCACAATTTACTTCACTTTTTTTTGTTGCGAGTCAAAAAAAGGCGAATATACAAACCGTATGCAAATGATTGATTTGATGATGATGGTGATGGTATTTCGTGTCATGATAGTTCTTGTGATAGTATGAGCACAATTTGAATAGATGTGAAAGTGCCGGGAACAGGAACAAAACGAATTTCAAGAGAAGTTTTTTCGCTGCCGTCACACCAACAATCAACGGTAAAATCCAGAATATTTTTATCTTGATGAGTTTGATGACCAATACGATGGCCAAAAATGATAATAGTATTTTGTTTTTGAGGAATTTTTCTAAACAAATAAGGTAACATACGAATTTTATTCATTTGTTTAAATTTATGATTATTTAACGGCCATTGTGCTTGTGCATGTGCATTGTTCAATTATGAGTGCTTGCAGGAGCATGACAAAGGGCCAATTACCAGGACGATTTTGGAACGGGATTCTGTGCACTTACTTTTTAAAAACTTACTAATATGTTTCTTAAGACCAAAAAGTCGGCCAACATCTGATTCTCTTTCTTCTAAAGCTTTTGGAATCATTTCAAATTTAACGAGTGCACCGTCACCATCGAATGCACGTGGAGTTATACGAAATGTTGCACCATCGAATAGCACTTCGGGCATTTTCAATTCCAGATTATGTGTCATCATAAAATTTCTCCATTTTCCATACAGCGCATCGGTCACTTCTTCGATTGGTGATTCTATAAAACGAAATGGAATAAAACAACATGACTTTCACACGTTGCCATTTGAACAAACCTGATTTGAATTCACGAGTTTCTTCTTCCGAAATTTCATTGTCACGTTCCTCTTCGGTGTTGTTTTGTAATTGTGCCAATAAATTGGGATCGATGTCGATTTTCTTGAACAGAATTCGATCGGTCACATTCACATCCGACAATTTCAAGGTATTGTCCAAATATGTATAAATATTCTTTTGAAAGCATGAAAACGATGGCTTGTATAAACAATCATTTATAATACCGTCCCACAGTTCGTTGCCAGATGGTTTGATTATTGATTGAAAACTGCGTTGTGACGATGCCGTTTGATTGCTATGAATTTGATGATTTGAGATTTTCTTTCTAGTTATTGAATGATTTGTAAAAATGTTCGGCTGCATAGCCGGTGTTGCTGATTCGACATGGCCACTGATTGTACTTAGTTTAGTGTTAAATGCTGCATCATCGCACGAACAGTATGCAAAAAATGTGATTGAAACTATTGATGCCCAGTATAGTATGGTGGTCGCTTCAATTGGTATCATCATTTGAAATGAATACGTTGAACGGCCTTTTTTTCTGCGCATTTTGAGGCCACAGTGTATGCTTGAGGAATCCAGTTGCTTAATTTTGGATCGATTTGTATCGAATGTGGCCGATGATAATGCTATGGCGCTTGCTATGCTTTCGTTCACTTCGGTGCGGTGCTCTTTATTCCAATCGATGTCTTCCTGTCTTTATTGAAATGAAAAAACAGGAAAAAATAAGCATTACATTCACTTACAAACATAAAAAGTCATCATTAAATGAGAAAAGACCATTAAAAAAGCGACTATTATATTTCGATGATCTAACAACAAACGAGCTATGAGAAAGAACGAATAGAAAGAGACTTTAATAGTATCAATATACACGTTTTACATTTCCGCACACACCTAGTGTGAAAGGGGAAAGTATTGCAATAGGTCAAAATTTACGAAACCTCAAAAACATGTTTTCTGGACGTTTCTGAGGTCAGAGAACCCGAATCAGGCCGTTTTGAGCATGGTTGTTGTGGGTCTGTTCCACGTCGTACATCGTACGTCGTCCGTTGTCCGCCGTACGCAAAATTTGTCCATCGATTTTCTCACCACCCAGAAAAGTTATTTGAAATCTGACTTCACGAGATGATTGGGGGTCCCCATGAATAGAAATCATCAGATTTTGAGCGACTTTGGTTGATGGAAAAAAATTCCATGCCTGGAGTGATACCTATGAAAAAGAGTCCAATTTTCGTCCAAAAGTCATACTTAATGTAGACTTAAACACTCAAAAATATGTATTGGGGGGTTTTTTGTCACGAAAAAACCGAATCCGACGTTAGTTTTGAGATACAATCAATTTTTAATACAGTTTCCTTGAAAAACCACAAAAAAATTGAATTTTAGTATGGGAGCCATGCCTGTATGCTACCTTAATGACGTGAAACTTTGCACAGACTATTTTTTACACAAAAGTATAACATTCTGAAAATTTGAAGAGATTTCAATTAAAATTAGGGGTACCTCCCATACAAAATTTTCAATTGGCTCAAAAACGAATATTTTGTATGGGAGGTACTCTTAATTTTAGTTGAAATTTCTCCAAACCCTCCGAATGTTATTTGTAAAAAAAATAACCTGCGCAAAGTTTAACGCCATTAAGGTAGTATACAGACATGGCTCCCATACAAAAATCCAAATTTTTTGTGACTTTAGTTATGAAAAGTGTTTCAAAAATAATTTTTATGGCAAAATTAACGTCAGATATATTTTTATAGTATTTTGTTAGAAAATAGAATACTTTCAAATGTCGTACAAATGGTTTCATCATGAAAGTGTGAAAAATCTTTTCTCGGGTACTTCTGCTATTAAATTAAAGAATATTTTGTTGCCAAAGTTGAAACATATTTTTTGGTCTCGAACTTTACGCCGCTTGAAAGGCTTGAAAAATCGAAAAAATATTATTTTGAACTTTCTTAATAAAATACGCAACTACCACCGTGCGGAAAAGTTCGTCTTACTCCCGTAAGACTCTTTATTTTTTTTTTCAAACGACGGACGACCAATTCAAAAGTTGGAAATCAGTACGTAGAATTTCACTGCGGAAATGTTCTACGAGAGTAAAAGATGTATACGCGATGACGATGAGTCAACCTTATTCTAACTAATGTAAATATGTTTTTAAGGTGAAAAATGGCAAGTGGTGAAGATCACTTGTGAATAGAAATCGAAGACGCCCAACAAAAGAATCTATAATCGTTTTTATGAATACGAATCAAGTGAGTCGAAAAGAATCAATGAAATAGACGAAATTTGGGTCATCAATGTGCATCTTCTCTATATATTTGTATCGTGTTATTTTCTACTTATTTTACATTCGCCGGTTCGACGACACACGAGCCACGGCCATTGCACATAAGGCAAATGTACGCATTTCATAGATATAATTGCGTTCACTTTGCTCATCTTCAATTAAGAGAAATAGATAATTGTTGAGGCTGTTCACTCTGTTCGACGCATAACAACAATAAAAATCGATTAAAACACGTACGTGATTGAATCTGTATATTCATGTCAGTAGAATTATTTATTAAAGCACAGAGCAAATCTGAGATGAAACTAGTTTCAATGAGCCTGATGTCGCATTTCCCTGTGGCATTTTTTTTTCTTCATTACAATGCATTTGGGTCAAAATAAAAGGTAAGTACACGGCACCATCGCAAACCCATTTGACAAATTTGTTTTGATACACTGGCACACGTACGTACACCCCGAAAACAATTCAATTGCATTTCAACGCTTCTCAAGCAAATACAATTGAGCAAAACTCTTTTGTTTGTCAATGACCCTTTTTCTTCTTTCTTTCTTTAAAAAAAAAAATATTAAAACTTTCATCAGAGCAAATGACAGAAACAAATTGAAGTGTCAATTACCAATACAATAAATCACTTTAATTGCAATTCATTCTATTTGTGACTGCATTATGTTTTTCTTTTGTATGCAAACACGATCAGCGTACCGATGCTGTTCGGCTACATTGTGCATGCGCCAAGTGCCATTCTCGTTGTAAAGAGATGATAAATTGAGACAAATATTTTGATCATTCAATGCAACTGCAAATGAAAACATTAGCTAAAAAAAAACGTTTTGTTACAAAAAAAGAGCAATAAACATGATTTTCAACGATGGAATAATAGTAGCAAAGTATGAATGAATCTGTCAAACTCAGATTGCTCAGCTGTCATAACTTAATTTGTGAACAATGTAAGCAATCATTTGAAATTAACTGGCTAGAAGAATGTGTTTGCTTCATTGCAAACTTTCACGTATGGCGATGTGTACAAACTAAATCATTTTGACCTAATTAACCAGTTTGAAATCGACATCGTCAATACGCGCCAAGACACAATGAAATAAATGATAAATTCAAAATCATTTTGGTACGTACATTGTGACTACACACAAAAATCAGCAAATCTGTCAAATTACAAACTAAAAAGAACGCTTGCTCCAATTGACATTCAAATTAATGATTTCAATATGAAATGCGGAATGGAGATTATCTCGACGATGGTGTACCTTATTGTTCCACAATTTCAATTGCTCTAATTGAATTTAATTGTTGTTTTACTACACGGAGTGTATGTATAATTTTCACAATCGATTTGTACAAGTGCTTGCTCTTTCTCTTAGCATAACATACACAATTATTATTTCAAGGTGTTAGAAAATCGGAAATAATTGTACGCACAGCAATTTCAGTGGGCTTAGAAACGAATCAATCAAACACACCATACAATTATGATAATTCATCAACATCGAAATTCTTTGCGTACATATTTCAATAATTGAGACTTCAATCATTGTTTATGTGATGAGGCAAATCTGTAGAATCAAAGCTATCATTTACACGTGAAAAAAAGTGATCACCACCTGTAATTCATTGATATAAACGCGTACTAAAGATTGTGAATATTGAAATTACCGTTGTATATGCTAACATATTTTATTAAACCGATCAAATGATTTGAAAAATGAAGATGATGAGTCATGAATTAAATATATAAAGGCATACTTTTGATCACTTGACATCTTAACTGAATGCAATTTCTAAATGATTCTAATTTCATTGAAATGTGTTGACACTCATTCACATCATTCAATGTGAACATGAAAATAATAATAATTAAGATATTCTAGCCTACTTTGAATACGTTGGCATCTGAATGGCTTTTCCGAAAAGAAAATTTGAATACAATTTGAAATCGATTCATTTTTGTAATACATCTTTTGTAAGTTCGAAAAGAAATGTGACTTTTGTATTTAAAAAAAAAAACTTCAATAAAAAATGTGAGATGTGAAGCAAGTGACTGTGTCTGCTTATTAAATAAGAAAGAAAAAGTCTGCCTTTCGCTTGGCATTTAAGTGATTCTTTCAATTTAACATTAGCAGATTGAAAGATAATAACTAAATTCAACAGAATGACCATTCTTTTTCTAGCTTTTTGTCTCGGTAGATTGCACCCGAAATTTGATTTTGATTACATCAAAATAGGTTAATCTAACTTCTGGATTCAGATAACAGGTACCGGTTTAGTGTCAAATTATTCGCGAATCTCTTCTCCATAGATTTAAAAATGTATAAAATTGACATTTTTTTCGTGTTCTACTTCATACTCGTATTCTTATATGTGTGACCGTTAAAAGTTCGTTGATATTATTTAATTTCAACATAACTGTGTTGAGTTGTTCAGACATCGAATACCGTCATGCAGAATATGCAGATTTGATAGCTGCAAGCAATACGTGTCGTCATTCTGTACGCATGCATATATAAATAAATGTCAATTGAAGAAGAAAAAAACGAGCAGAAAATCTCAAAAAGAGACAAAAATTTGCATGTACAAAAATTCGCCGTTGATGATATTGAGGTCACATTTCATCATCGCTGGTCGTTGATTGGTCCACGATATGCACGAATCTTAATGTCTGTGTATTTTCTTGTCGACGTTCAAAATTCCTGAATTATTTATAACCCGAATGTTCTTTGAAAACACAGCTACTTTTATTATTTTATTATCAGATGGGTTTACACGTTTTTCCTCAAACAATGACGTTAAGTGAGAAGAAGTCATTTTCACACTTGAAATAGAAAATCGTTTGAGATTTATCGGTTGAAAATTTATGAGAAGGCGTGTAGAAAATCATGAGACAACAATTTTTCACCATAAATACCGCATTAATGGTTGCTTTAAGTTGAATTAAAAGTTCTTGCCAGTGTCTTCGAACAAATGTAGTGTTGATCTGCGAAAAATGCGGTTAGGTTTACAAGAGAATCATAAACACAAGTACGATTTTTCATCAAACTGTAATCGTTCAAATGTGTGAGTTTTTGTCGTAATTCCATAAACTGTTAGAGGTGTTATGTATTCTTGTCAAAAGTGTACGCACCATATCGAATGCACGTTTTATGTTCTCGAGAAGATTGATTCAAATAAATAATACACAGCCGTACCCGCCATTTGTTTGATAGAAATACAAATACCTTAACATCACGCATCGTAAACATGCAACGAAAATCCAAATTGGTAACTTTTTCATTTCAATCAAATGATTCATTCCATCGTAACATGTGGCGAATCTTTGTTTTTCGTTCAAACATTGCTTGTTTGTTTTTTTGCTTTCTTTCAATTTGAACTTGATTCAAACACCATCA